GCCCGAAGACGAGTCCCTCTAATGGCAGAAGAGAAAACTCCACGACGCTCTTGCCCTAGTTCCAAGAATTTATAATGAACTGATCTGTCAGCATCGGAGAACTGTTCTCCGTAGGGATATCCCCGTGGGGTATCGCAGGTTATGGGATTGCCGTGGTAGCTGGTAGTCAGATTTTTGAATATAGTGATCAGTACGATTAGATGATAGTAAATTATAACAATAGTACTCTCGTTTTAAAGGGTGACAATGTCCTAGTAGTCCTGTTTCTCGTGTCCTTTCCTCGTTTGGACCTCGTGAGCTCATCCATTTTGGCATGACAAATCTAATCAAGATCTCGCATCTATCCACCACTCCTCCATTCTAAACCCCTAGTTACTGGCGGCTTTTTTATATTTTTATAGTGAAATCTTTCAATATAAACTCTCTTTTGGAAAACAAACGAAGGTGCAAGACCTGGGATACTAAGTAATAGTGCTTGTTATATCTTCGTAATGTAATATGGTATGTTCACAAACGTTATATATTTAGGAGCCTGAGGTTAACATCTGAGAATAGCTCAATATCTAGCACGCACTATAATATTCAAGTATTGCAGTTCACATAGTAACCAACGATAGCAGCTATTTATAAATGCAACAGCAGATCGAAAGACAGACAGTTAGAACCAAACGATGGATGATTATAGTTCTGCACCTACGCTATTAGGGTTCGACTTAGTCACCTGGAAACGCAAGCCTTTTTCTCGGGCGTCTCGGGATGTTTGCATCCTCCATACCCAACCTTACCTCCAGCATGCTAATCGACATCCATACCAGCCATATCAATGACCAGTTCGATTTAGAATCTTGTGAGGATTAAATCTTATCAACGTTGAGTGTGATATTTCCTTGCATCCACAATGCCAAAATCCTCTACTTCTCCACCAGGTCCGCACGAGTTGCGAGCTGTAAGTTGCGATGCAGTGTCTGTCTTATCATACAACTAATATGCGATAGTGTACAGAATGTCGGGTGAGAAAAAGCATCACCGGAGTAGAGGAGGACATCTTATTAACATGTTGCGCGAGACACTATAGAAACGTAAAAGCAAGGTAACTACACTAGTCAATTCCCTACTTAGATTTTACCTGCTCACATGCCCCACAGTGCTCCGGGACGCCGCCATGCTCGTACTGTTCCCGAGCCAACAAACCATGCATCTTCGGCCGTCCATCGCTGCGAACGCCATTGACGCGCAAGTGAGTGTTGTATTATGCCCTGATAGGGTTGTATCTCTGACAAGTATCTAGAAACATGGATCAAATAGAACGTCGCTGCGCCAGTTTAACGGCGCTTTTGCATCGGCTGAACCCGGATGTTGATATTGAGGACGCACTGAAGACGATGACTATTCCGCCAGGTGGCCTGCATGCCTCAGCTTTTGGCGGAGTGAGCCCTGCTTCAGTAGATGAGTTTGAATGGAGCGAAGCTTCGCTAGGGTCTCCTACTGAGCTTCGAAGAGTGGGTCTGGATGGCATGGCATCTTTGCCCACAGGGAGCGCGGAAGCTGGCTATCTCGGTAGGTTGCAAGGAATATACGTCTACCTACTTGGTGCTAATAATATTTCCAGGTAACAGCGCAGGGTCTAGTATCTTGAGAAACGTCCCAGGCTTGACCCCCGAGAGTTCTGATTTAGAGACCAATCAGCGGACACAACCCTCACTTGATGACTCTATTAGGGGTCCGGACCTTCTGTGTTCAGCACATCTGGGTACCTCCGCCATTCTTGATGGTCTAGTAAACGCATACTTCACGTATTATAATACATCCTACCCGATTTTGCATGAGAGTACATTTCGACAACAATATCAAGAGCGCCATCAGCTTCAAGATCGGTCAAGTTGGCATTCAATATTCTACATTGTCCTGGCAATCGGGAATTGGATTCTCGGTGGCACGTCCGGCTCTCGAGAATGTCAATATTATTCCGCCGCACGATCGCGCATGTCAATGCATATGTTGGAGTCTGGAACTCTCCTCACGGTTCAAGCATTTCTCCTAGTTGTCAGTCACCATCAATATTAACCACCACGTTGAGCATACTAACAAGGATAAGGGAAACTATCTCCAGAAGCGAGATCGACCAAATACTGGATACAACTTCATCGGAATAGCGTACCGCATGGCTCTTGGATTGGGACTTCATCGTGAGCCGCCCGCCGCAACGAAGACTGATTCACTGTTCCATGAGCGAAGAAGGGTCATCTGGTGGATCGTGTATTGCTTCGATAGTGGGTTCGGCATTACTACTGGGAGACCCGTCATGGCCGCAGATAGTTTTATTGAGACCTGTTTGCCCCGCAACATAGACGATTCGGTAAGATAGAAAGTTATCCGTGGCTAAGGAAAGAGGACTTATTGGACTTGCAGGCATGCACGTTAACCTCGATACTCCCGACACCATCAGACCGACCTACAACATATTCTGCCATAATCGCACAGGCGCGACTAGCCTCCATTGGAAACAACATCTATAGCAATGTCATTTCCGCCCCGAAAGAGAACATCCTCGACTTGAGGATCTCTCGGTCACTCGATCATCGATTGAAGGCCTGGAGGCTTTCCTTGCCCGTGTATTTCACAGCACAAGACGTGCCAGATTGGTTTCGAGGCCCGCGTGCAGTGGTCGGGTGGAAGGAACAAAATCTGAGAATGATGCTATGGTGGGGGAGCCAGCGTCTTTGCAGCTTATTATCAGATGTCGAGGAAGCACGGAACATGTGTCACTACGTTGCGATCGAGACCATCCAAGACATTACAACTTTCTGCTTGGATTATCGTGACAACATCCATGTCGGGCTGAGCTGGTACGCCACATACTTTCTATTCCAGGCCACCGTTGTCCTTAGCATCCATTACTTGAGACCGCATCAGCCCCTGGATATGAGCCCAGATTCGGTGAACCAGGAGCTGTGGGCTCTCTCTATATCAAGGGCGCGCGACTGCCTGGCCCAGCTGAGCCAAGATAACGAAGCTGCAACGCGATGTTTGGCTGTTCTGGAAAGAATCAGAGACCAATCGGAGCGATCACAACAGTCTTCCATGACTCCTTCGGGCACGAGGCCCGATGCGAATGTTCACGCTGACCACGCCCAGCTACAGCCTGTTCTGGCAACAGACGACACAAATCCGACATCATTTGCCATCGATCCGGCCTTGCAAATCCTCTTCCAGGATACAGCGTGGAATGATGATATTTTCGAAGGCCTTCACGGGTTCCCGATCACAGACGAAGTGGAAACGTTTGACTACATGCCCCCAAATGTTTGACCACCAATACTCTCTAACAGGAAATCATGGCTACATTCTTAGCTCAGACTGGTTCCTGAACACTATCACGAAAATTAAGAATTATAGTCTAATCACAGGTCCTAATCTATATTATAAATTAATCAATCCTTCCAGCCCAACCGCTTCGCCACCAGCCTCACAGCATAAACCAGCCCCAACAGCACCGGAACCTCAATAAGCGGCCCGACAGTAGCAGCAAGAGCCTGATTACTATTCTCCCCAAAGGTCGCCACCGCCACCGCAATAGCGAGCTCAAAGTTATTGCTAGCCGCCGTGAAGCTTTGCGTGGCTGCCAACTTGTACCCAAAACCCATTTTATACGCGATGAAAAGCGTTGCAAAAAAGATAACAGAAAAGTAAACGATGAGCGGTGCCGCAACCCGGATCACAGAGACAATTTGATGCACCACCTGACGACCCTGCGAGGCAAAGAGCACCAGGATCGTGAATAGGAGTCCGATAAGGGATAGCGGGCTGATCCATTTCAGGAATACCTGGTCGTACCATCGTGCGCTTGTTGCCCAGCGGAGGACGAAGCGTGTGAGGATTGCGGCGCCAAGGGGGATTCCGAGGAAGACTGCGACGCTTTTGGCCGCGGTGCTGTATTCGAATGTGATGGTGTCGCCGCTGATTACTTCGATGAAGAATACTCCCATTGGTGCGAAGAGGACCATCTGGAGGAGCGAGTTGATGGCGACTAGGATTGCGCAATATTCGTTGTCGCCTCCGGCGAGGCCTGTCCAGATTAAGACCTAGTTATTGTGAGCTTCAACGTTGGGGGTGCAGACCCTTAGTCTCTGAGGTTAGGGGCGATATTTAACTTACCATAGCGATACAACGTGCCAGTCCGACAAGAATCAGTCCTTGCCGTAGCTCTGGCTCATCGGGTAAAAAGGCCCAAGCCAATGCTAGCTGAATAACCTGTTATATGCTGCACAAGTTGAGAAGAAGAGAAAGACATACCATAAAAAATGGAGCAATGATCCAATTCACAACTATACTGAAGCCAATTTGCATCCAGATGCCCCGAGCCCCGAGGACATGATGCAAGCTTTCATATCTGACCTTGCATAGAATGGGATACATCATGACGAGGAGACCAACGGCTGTTGACAAGGGATCAGCGATTCGGGGTCAAGGAAGATCACCAGGAACACTCACCTATAGGAATTGACACCCCCACAAACTTCCCTTGCTGCAATGCAGGCCCGGTGTTTGGAACAAAGTTGCCCAGGATTATTCCAATTGCCATGGCTAGAAAGATCCATACTGCGAGGAATCGGTCCAGAAGTCCGAGATTCTTGAACGCCGACTGCTTTTCCTGAGGCCTATCTGAGGACTCTGGATCCTCTTGTTTCTCCACATCTGTTGTTGGTCCTGGTGTCTCTATAGTGGGATCCGAGGAGTATTTCGGATTTGGTTGGCCTTTCGCACATGCCATGATTGATTCACTGTTCGTTATGAGATGGCATGGGAGTAGGGGTGATCCTGCTGGAGGAGTCTGGTGGTAATGTTTGTTGGCCAGAAGCACAGTTCTGTAGTAGAAATAGAGAGAAACACACTCTCCGTCTCGAGTGATGTTATACAAGTGGTGTAGATGGAGTCATCTTCCGTGAACCCTATATCCCTTCTACTAGATTTTTGATGCTCACGGCATGTCACTGGTCAATGCTGATTGGCCAATAACAAGTGGATATGTTGAGCTGAAAGCAGCCAATAAGAACAGAAGGGCGACATACCCCGCCCTAGCCCTATTTGGAGTGGGGATCAGGTTGTCAACTATCAAGACATCCTACGATAATGTCAACATTCCACCATCTTCTGTCGTGAGCAATAATTAGATCTCCCCAATATGTCTACCACTGAAGCTCCATGGCACGCAGCCTACCCCGCCCCCAGAACCATCGCAGCCAAGCTACCCCGCCATGAGCTACTGCAATGGCTCAAGGAGGGTAAACAACCGGGAAAAGACTTTGTGCTAGTAGATCTGCGACGTGCAGATTTCGAGGTAAGCTGGGAATCTATGCCACCTTATACGCGGACATCAATTGACAAAGATACGTAGGGAGGCACTATCCGGGGTTCCTTGAACCTTCCAGCACAGAGTCTCTATCCCACCATTCCTACCCTATACACGCTTCTATCGGCGAGTAAGGTGGCGAGCGTCATCTGGTACTGTGGTATGTTATCTCACTAGAAAATTATAGTAGTAGGTGGAAACGCGTTGCTAATGTATCTACAGGGTCATCCGCAGGCCGTGGAACGCGGGCCGGCGGCTGGTTCGCCGATTATCTTCAGGATCAAGGAGACACGACCCTGAAGAGCTTGGTGCTGGAAGGTGGGATCAAAGGCTGGGCGGCTGCAGGACCGGAATATACGGAGCTTATGGACGAATATGATGCCTCGTTTTGGGCAAAGTTCTCTTCTGGATGTGAGTAGAATGACGAAGTTATGAGACCTGTTTTGTATCTGTTGATGGTCATGCCGACAATGAATTCCGCATGATACGTGCAATTGGTCGTAGAATTCTTCAGCAATACACTGTATCATTTTCTGCCTGGATCCAGATAGTACATACGACCATAGGGTGTGCAGAACAGGGCTTCCTGCCCACTCAGCCGTTCCTGAGCCACATATTAAATGCGACTGACTGGAAAGTGAGCCGTTTGGTAGTTGCTGCTTCTATGGTTGAGCGCCGCTAAGTCACAGGGTGGGTTGGTAATTTAGGTGATATTGTTCAAAGCGCGGGTGAGCAGGGTGGGCGAGTAGATAAGTGAGTTGGTGCGTAAGTGGATGAACTAGACAACCTAATAGGAGTTTTGTTTTGAGAGGTTTAATAGGGGCACTCGACCTGGTTGTGTATTCCATTTTCCCGCCCTTCGAGATACTGGTTGTCAAACGACGGCTTCAAATGTGATATATCAGACCTAGATTCCAACTTGTTGCTCTAATTGGGAATGGACTTCCCGCACCCATTCCGACACTTACGGCCGACGCATCGCTTCCATTTCGATAAAAATAACGATCCCTAATAAGAAATTTCTTGTACTCATACGCATCTTCTGCAGCAGGTGACCGGCAATGAGCTTTCTTTGCTGGTCTCGCTCCACTCTATCTTGCGCCGTGGATGGAAGAAGACGTTATATAAAGCAAGGCCGATATGGAAGCATACCCACTGAGATTAACGTTAGTGAAAGAAAGTCCAAATGACGGAGAGATAATCCAATCCTACAATCCCTGTGAGCAGCAAAAGCCACCCCAGATACCCTGTGGGTAAGAGAGAGCCAATGGATGGCAGTAGCGACCCCATGGCTAGTGGTATAACGGTGGGAATCTCGAATCTCGAGCAAGATAAAAAAAAGTAGGAAGTGAAGCATGAGTCCCAGCATTATATAGGGAATCCGGATGAAGGGCAAGATACGTCATGCGTAAGCCCATTCGATGGCTTTATACACTGGTAATACCTGTTCACATGGATGAAGCCGTAGTAGTTTGGGACTATTGATCTCGTGCATTGTGGCTTGATCTTACAGACCTACGGTGGATACAAACATAAGCCTGCGGGTATTGCGTATGTCACATCGTAAGCTTGACCATTTGCTTACTCGAGTCTCACTAATCTTCTCTTGCTTTGGGTCACATCCAGTGCCAGCCAATTAAATATGCAAGATGTCAATAATATGAGATACTTTAGTCCAATCTCTAGCAGTTGTTTTGTCAGACCTTTATCTAACAATATTGCCAAGGAAAGAAAGAAGAAAAAGAAAAGCAGAAGAAATGTTTTATAAACGTTAACCCTAGTCCACGAATACAGCAGCGAGGGCTTCAGAGCCAAACCCGTACTTCAACATTTTTAACTCACTATTATAATAGGAAGAACGGAGCTCATGGAATCTGGTCCATACCAAGCGAGGATCTCAATCTCATACCACCCAAGAGGAATGGCTCCGTAGATAATCCACATACTTCTCCATCAAGGAAGAGTCAAGGGGATAAAACTCCAGACCCCCAAGATAGCCCTGCAAGGCCCTCATAAGATTCTTCGTCCGATATTGTGGCATGTTCTCGTAAAGTTCATATCTCGCCAAACCATCTTGGACCTTCTCGGCTAGCATAGGTAGCTAGTTTAATAATCTTTTCTCAAGACCTCTTCTATGATCAGTGTTGAATGGCCAGTGGGGATTCTAGATACTTCTGGGGGGCAAGGACCTGGTACTCAATCTAGGACAGTGGACTTGGTGAGCCTAGTATATTCACGCGTTTTAATAATGTATATACAAACGGAAATGATATCCCAGCACACTTGTGCCATCAAGGACAGACAGCACGTCAGGCGGATGCCGGGTATGTACATATAAAGTATCACTGTCCTACATGGATGCAGCTGCCTTTAACTTTTCCTCTTTCACTCTCTTCTCTTCCCTCTCACTGAAGCGATCCCCAAAGAGCTCCATATGAGGTCTCATCAGGATCGTGTACTTCACGAATTCCTCCATACAATCCACTAAACGGTCCCGGTTGCCACTGGGCATAAGCCTCTGGTCTCCCGGCTGACCTTCATCTGGAAACTGGGTGTATGCCTTCGGGATGGAGGACTGATTTGGGATGGTAAACATACGCATCCACCGACCGAGGATACGCAAAGAATTGACCGCATTGAATGATTGCGATCCACCGCAGACTTGGGCAATAGCCAATGTACGGCCCTGGGTGGGGCGGATACTACCGGTACTAAGGGGGATCCAGTCTATCTGGTTCTTGAAGACTGCGGTCTGGTATCAGAAGGTTAGCGGATGAATAGAGAAATCATACGTCGGGGTTGACTGGTCACTGACCAGGTTACCGTGCTGCTCCGGCGAGACCCAGATATGCCCATCGCTCCACTGACTAAGTCCACGGAGCTCCTGAACCTTGGGGTGACCGTGGTCGACGTCGTTTTTCACGGGGAGTCCCTCCGGGTCGAAAACGCGGACATCACAACCAAGTCGGAAGAGGATGCGACATGCTTCAAACGCCACAAGTCGTGAGTATGATCTTTTGCGTAGACTCCCGTACAGTACTAGGACCTTGAGTCTCTGGTTGGTATTCTTTAGGTCGTTCTCGGCTATTTTCAGGGCAGTCGTCAGTTCCAGATCACTGATCCAGTCCCGTTCTGTTGTATGATCGAGGATAAATGGGCGATACTTTTGCCGAATCGCAGCATCGTCTTCACTAGCCGATAAAGCGAGGGACTGAGAGGCAGCAACAGGCAAGTCTCCTCGATGATGGATATTCTCAAGCGTATCCGTCGTTCGTAACCGTTCAACAACTGGTTGGGCCATTGTTGTATATCTGACGCGTGGTAGTCGAGGTTGCCGGGGGCAAGTCGTCAAACCGGCCTTCAATGTTAATGCTATACTAAAGCGACAGCGCATTGAGAAGCTTATGGCACATATACAAGAAATTAGGAAAGAAAATAGGTCGAAATATTTAAAATCAAAAAAGGTCCATGGCCAATGCCAAGACTTTCGAGGGCATGTCACTGCTCAACCATGATTGGCTGGTGGTGAGAAATGTGCAGATTTTCATCGAGTTGGATAACTTCAGGAGACAAATTGATGCCTAGAAGCATACACACACCATGCAATGAGTGTCTGAGAAGCACAAATACATCCAGTAAAGACCGGTCTCTCTGATTTACAAGATAAGGAGTCTGAAATTTCATTCACGAAAACCATGTCGTTCGTTCCCATAGTGGGGCCTCGTCATCATCAGGATCGCCCACATCCTCAGCATGTGGTATACACTCCGTGATTCCTTGGACTTCGGTGAGACTGGATGAGCCACTAGCTATCCATGCTACCAGGGCATCGATCTGAGCGTCATACATATCGCACTCACCCTTCTCATACCCCCGAATGAGTAACGACTCCAAATTCGGTGGTAAGCTATCAACCAGGTTAAAACACTGTCTCTTCGCTAGGTTGACCCCCTGAGCATAATACATCAGAGTGTTTACCCCGATACTCAATTGCTTTAATGCGCAAAACTCCCGCAGTGATCCGCTCTGTGTCCATAATGATTCAGAAGGCGTCCCAGTCCATACATGGTCGGCATCACGTCGACCACCATGTTGCTCAAACAATTCGTCCAATTCCTCAGCGTCCACGGTCTCGGGGCTGAATTCACCTATATAATACTCCACATCCACATCCAGTATTTCCAGGGTCTCTCTGTGCGGCAAGATGGTGAAGAAAAATGTCTTGGGGTTGAAACTCTGGGTACTTCCGTCTGAGATTGCCCTGCCCCCGACGGAATACTGGAACTCCCTCAGGACCTTGCATGAGGATATGACATTGGCGAGGTAAAATATATCTAGTGCAGAATGACGAATGGCGATTCGACTAATGTTCGATGATCTGGGCTCCACCCTCGGCGCCCCATTCTCGTCTTCTTCCAAAATGTCCGTACCAACCATCTCCATAGACGGTAAGCGATGGACCAGGTGCATCGCTCCCATAAAGTCCATAGGCACGTAAAACCGGTCCTCGTCGAAAGTGTCTTCGCCATTATTAATAACATAGAAATTCCGCAGATTCTGCAAGAATGGCATATCATTTGGCGCGGAATTAACCTGGCGAAGCAGCCTCTCCAGCGGGAACTTGACTGTTTTGAAATCGTGGCTTTCTTCGGGCCAGTAAAAGCCGGTGTAGTTGAAAAACGGTGGCGGTGTTGCCAATGACTCTAAGTCTGGCGAAACCGAGATAAGCAGTGCCGTCAAGGCCTGTGAAATGTAGGCCATTCGGCTCTTCGTAGGACTATATGAAATGTTAGCATGGTAAGCGACGAAAGCTGCATGTGGATATTACAAGTATGGGGGCCATGGCCTTTCCTCGCCGGCTTCGGTTTGCATGACCATGTTGAGAATCCGACCTGTCTCCGAGCCTGTGAATCCTGCTTTACAGATTGAGGCGCGAAGCAGCTGCGTTTCCTTGTTGCTGAGGCTTCGTAGTGAATCCGTTCGCTCGGTGTAGTCATCGAAACACGGGGGACCTTGGCTGCATTCGATATGCCGCACATACCGGCCTAAAGTGGGCCGTTTGAGAATCCCCATGAGCAGGGAAAATGCTTCATTCAAGCTGCTGTCTTTGCTGTCGATGCACAATCGCTGATATTTCTTGCGCATAGGCATGTCGCAGATGGCGTGCAGTGATCGGCATTGTAAAGAGAGTGCGGCAACATCGTGATGAGAATGTAGGAAGGACAAGATTCGATGTTGAATCTCCACGGGCAGATCAGTTAATAGAGCCATTATTATTGATCCTAGGGAAGGAAGGTCGGATCATGGTGGATTTATTCTTCCAAGTGGGTCTTTCTTAGTAGTAGTTTTAGCGTATTTTATAGGCAACGCCATGTTGCCTGCTTGCCTCAATACTATCCCCCCACTATTATACTGGCTACGAAATGTGAGACGTAGCAGCCATCCGAACAATATGGAAGATTAATACTGTAGTCCTCAGTAGATCTAATTATACCACTGGCCCCAGGGTAACTCACTGCACAGGCCAGCTTCATCGTTCTAGAGGGATTGTTCCGTGATTTCCGATCCTTGCGGGACTAACGGCCGCTGAAAATTAAGCCCCGATTGAGGCAGCTAGTTAAAACGAAGTATTTGTAAGTTGGGTTGCCCAGTGGAGATCCTAATATTATTAAAACGGGCATGGGTTCAGATCCCACAGCCTCGTCCATAATAAGATCCAAGGCTACGAAGCTAGTTTAGTTGATTATGGGGCTCTTTCTTTGTTTCTAGTGTGCACGGATACAACACAGCGCATCCTCCACAGGGCTGATCCCACAGATACAACATTGGCAAGACCCTGATAGGCTAATTTATCGAAAGAAGGCCCTATTAGCTGGTGTGAGTAGGCATTTGTCTACATAGCTCAGCCTCTATGAAATAGAAGTAACTAATTAGTTGCACATTGGTTAGGCAGGTATTCTTCGTTGCCTCTAACAAGAGATACAGAAGCTCTCAATCCTCATTTTCCTTTGCTTTTCTTTTCACTCTTCCGTTACCAGCTTCCTTGAAATACGATATTTATAGCCATGACGAATGTACAGCCGATCAAGATTTTCTGGAGAGGCAATTGCACCTGTGTTCTCTAGTAGCTCCAAACAGACGAATTAGCCAGCGTCAATATTATCCAGATCACGTTCCAAATTCCTCCAAGGTTCTGGTCATCCTTGAGCAGCTCGACCTGCCCTATGAGACGTTGTATATTGAATTGGACGAGTTTAAAAAGCCGCCTCTCACAGATGTGAACCCCAACGGACGGGTTCCCGGTATTTCTGATGCACAAGGGCTTTCAATCTGGAATAAGTGCTGCGAACAATTGATTCTAGCCATCATCGATCCCAATACCGGGCTGACGCTCTGGGAATCTGGTGCAACCATTCAGGTAAAGCTGTAGTGAATGGCTGGTTGAAGACAAATGCACGCACGCAGACTTGGCATTTGTGATGTGGGACTTCCAGATCCCCTTTTTCATGGCCAGTCGGACCAGCGAACATGCCTGGAAACCAGAGGAATTTCCATAATTTACCCGCTGGCAGAATGCCATGGTGGCGCGACCATCTATCGCGAAAGTGATCTGAGTGTTGATTGACAAGGAGGTGAGGAAAAGAGCGTAGAGGTTGACAGGTAGAATAGGGCATCGTCAGCAGAGATCAGAACTCCGCAGTAAAATATAACGAAAAATCCGAGTCCCAGCTAATAAATGAAAAAAGAGGCAGTGTGCGTTAGTGCATTTAATCCCTGTCCTGCGCGCACACCGACCTCGCTTTACCAACAGTAGCGGCTGTATTTAAATCTCATGGATTCGCTCTCCATCGGGGATATTTTCTATCTGTATCAGCGCAGTGCAGATTCTCCCCTGAAGCTATGGCGTTACTCTCACCCAAAATTTTCATTGCGTTGGGCATCTTCACCCTCATCTGGGTGGTCTGGTGCCTGGCCACGTTGATTGCCAACGTGTCTCGGGCTCGAGCGACGGGCCTCCAGTATGTGATTGTCCCTTGTTCCATGCTCGGCGCTCCCTGGCTGTTGACCCAGCCGCTGCTCCTCCCTATTTTACAAGCCCTGCCGGAATTGTGGACGGAGAAATGGCTTCCACTACTTCTGTTTAACGACGGATGGCACAATGGCTATGAACCCTTCGAGCGGGTCGGAGCAGACACATTTCTGGCTGTCTCGCCCGGTGATATTATCTTCTATACCTGCGACGCCGCGGTATCTTCGCAGCTATTCCACAATGGTCGGCTGGGAAAACCAGCCCATTTAATGAGCCTTTTGAATATATTTGGCCCGACCATGACAGGTACCGATGGACCAGAGGCGCGGTTATACCGTCGCACCGCGGCCCCCTTTTTCACCGAGGCCACAATGCGGGACGTGTTTATCGGTGCTGTCCAGGGAGGTGCCGAATTATCGCGGGCGTTGAGACAGCGCGCGGCCCATCGTCAGCTACGAGACCTCTCCGCCAAGCTTTCACTTCATCTACTGAGTCGTTTTTGTAATCAGACGGAGACCCAAGAAGACCTGGTAAACGCATTGCAATTCAAGGACAAGCCGCAAGGCACCCACCGTATGACCTACAGTGAAGCTGTGTGCACTTTGCTGGAGAACTTTACGACTGTGTTTCTTTGCCCGCACGCGCTTCTTCGTATGTGATTCCTCGTCTTGGCCTCATTTTTGATTCCTAACAACATGGGATCCATCAGGGATTTCGCCTTTCTCCACCCATCGTCAAGCGGCTACAGCATTTACAGAAATGCGTCGCTACATGGAGGAGATGAAGGAACGTAAGGTGGCAGAGCTTGAGCAAAAGCCTCCTGCCCCATCAAAAAACGCTTCAAGTATCCTAGGTATGTACATTGATAACCCCAACTTCCCTACGTCAAAATCTGACGGCCCATCCCAGAGCTCTTCGTTCAAGCTGGGCTCCCAGCGGCGGACGGAAGTCCGGCTGTTCTTAGACCGGATCAGGTAATGGGAAATATTTGGACGTTTGTGTTCGCTGGCCACGAAGCAAATGCCAATACCCTCACTTTCATCATGTTGCTCCTTGCCTGCCACCCCGTCACCCAGCGCGCCATGCAAGCCGACCTCGATCGAATTCTCCAGGACACACCGCCAGATCAGTGGACATATGACGCACATTTCAACCCATTGATGAACAGTCTCGTAGGCGCTGTGATCAGTGAAGCCTTGCGTCTTTTCACCGTCTTGCCGGTGATTCCAAAATACGTGCCCCCGACAGGACCTCCTGTCTCTATCATCATCGATAACCAGGCCCATCCCTTGCCACAAGGCATGGTCGCTTTCGTGAACACCAGTGCCACTCATCGCCATCCACAATATTGGCCACGCCGGGAATCGAGTACACACCTGACAGCTTCTGACAATCGCAAGAAGCGGCCATTCGCAGTGTCTGACTTCGATCCCGAACGGTGGATTCAAACGACAGACGGTGGAAAATATGAATTTTTGAGCCCAATCCCCGGTAGTTTTATACCATTCGCAGAGGGCAGCCGAGCATGCCTGGGGTATCGTTTTGCGCTGGTGGAATTGTGTGCCTCTGTAGCCATCGTGTTCAAGTCATCGTCGGTGAGGCTGCTCACCAAAGATGAAGAAGCCGATGGTAGCAGTTTTGGAGGTGCTTCAGATACCTGGGAGGCAGCCAGAGATCGGGCCGAGTTAGCTCTTTCCGAGGGTGTTAAGTTTGATATGAGTTTGCGGGTCGTTCACGGTTTGCCTGTTCGATTTGAGGCGCGTAAATGAGGTATAGTCCGTGGGTCGAAACCAGATATAAAACTAGTTACACCGGTATCATACAATACGAAGTACCATTTCTTAAATTTAACTTGATAGTCGTATAAACTACTATTCTTCAAATATACGAATACTTCGCAAATATTTCTGCGTTTCCAAGTACAACCATAGTATAGGCCTAGATAGTTGAGATAGCTATAAACCAATGAGATCATGAATATAATCTAGATTTAGCCCACCAATATATATTAATAGGATGATGCCTGCTGGCCTTATCCAGGGGTGGAGTTAGGGCTAGTCATATCACGGGGCTTGATTTATCGCGATGAGCAGCTCTTATACTTTTCGATCTACAACAAGCGGGTCTGCAATGTGCTACATGACAAGTGGGAGAAGCATGGATATGCTTATACTATGCTACCTATTTCGACTTGTGCTTGATCATCTGTTTGACTAGGATAGCCAACAGTCTTATGGTAATGCTAAAATGCGATGTTGATTATAACGAGGAAGAGTGTGAAAGCATACACTCTACGAAGGATATAGTCATTTGTATGATTTGTTCTAAGACATGAATTCATCAATGAATTAGAATAGCCGATCATATGAGTTTGGCTGATCTTCGGCCCCGCATCTGTGTGATTAGTGATACTTAACGGATGATTACCGGTAAATCTCAAGAGTTACATGGAAATGATCAACATATCCACCTAGTGTATGAGGACAATACTACTATATCAGAAGGTCTATGAATATGAAAATATGCCCATCTTTATACCGCTAACACTGTCCCCATATGTGCAAATATCAAAATCTCTGAATAAAGCGCCGCAATCGGCGGCCCACACCGACTACTTTTCATCTCGCCCGGGCCATGACGCTGCCGAAGCCGTTCGTGGCGTGCGATTGCTTCATCCACTCCACTCCCGCGCCGCCACGCCTCGTCCCATACCGCCGATATGCCGATAATGACGGCGGTGTCTTAAATGCCAATTCTTTTTATACATGATGATTCCCTTCACCGGTGAAGCCCCGCTACACCACACCCCCCACTATGCGCGCGTTTCTCGATACCATCACAAACACGAGCGCTGGCCAGGATAAGTTCCTCAAAGTTGTCCAAAACATCATTCGGCTTTTACTGTCCGTATCACTATCTTGGAGATACAAATGTAGACTTCGCTGGCTCGACAAAGCGTTTTTCATGCGGCTTCGTGCGGAGATCGGGGTTGCCGTCAAGCTCACTCGCGTCTGTTCTGTGCCAGGACATTTACAGCAGCTGGCGGACGCGATCTGTTGTAAAAGCGAACCTGCTCTTCACCGGATTCTGAGAATTGCCAAGGCTCTTGGATATACCGTTTTCGCGATTGGAGATGTTGTCAACTACGTGAGTTCCGGAATATTCTCCCCTCTTTCCCCTCTTACTGCCAGAGTCATTACCCTGGAGAGATCATGAACTGAGCAGAGAGATGGCCTTTAGCTCTCCACCATTGCGTTTACGATCCCATCGAAGTGGAAACCCAGGATAGCTCGGGCGTCCGTGCATGCCCTCCTCCTTGCTACCGTCTGTCAATTCTTGCTGGCTGGCATTTCTTCGACACGGAATATCAAGATCACATATCGGCGCGATAGTCATTCCTTGAAATTGAATGGCATTCCTCGCTTTAACATAGCGAAGCGACAGGAACTACGAACTTGTACGTCCTCCCTCGGGATTTCCTCATTGTTATTTCTTCTTCAGTGTTGCGTAGTTCCATTAACAGTGATATAGTCCTTCCTCTTCTAAGCGCAGCCTGTGACATGGTGTCTGCGATCGCCGGCGCAGGCTACAAAGAGGTGAACGATGCGACGCTGGGAATTCTCGGATCCCTGAGTGGCGGATCCGGATTGACTTTGATTGTCACTAAATAAGGACATGCGGATTACATCGCCGTCGTCGAAGGTTGCTATGTTATCCATCTACATCACGATTCACATGACGTAATGAAACCCTTGAATGATTGCTCCTATTGCTTGCGATATGTACTGTATTCTGTTGGTTTTCGTTCAGCCAAATGAGACATCTATTAATGATACCATCCCGTATCAACGTGCTAGAATATTTGAATTTCCAGGGATGAATCCATATCGTAGACTCTAGATTCAGTTTGCCGAGGCTTGTATTTGATTATTTATTAAGCTTATCAATCTCGACCTCGGTAAGAGAAGTTAAAGTAACAAGGTTGAATTTAGTCTAGTCTGGGTGGCGAATGCCCCCACTATTTCCTTTGCTATCGTTCCTTATGCATAGTCTGCATGGAGTAGAGTCGATCTCATGCTCTGCCCACTATTCTCAGCCCTAATTGGACCAGTAACATTTAAAACCTGTACGTCATCGGGGAGAGCCAAACAACTTCAACTGCATTTCAGATTCAGCAATGACCAAAACAGAACGGTGATACTATTATCCAGAACCACTCAATATTCACTAATTTGCCAAAGACAAATGAAGAGACACAAGATTCTTCTTAAGATCAATCGGAAGATCCGACAACATGGAAATCATGTAAACGGAGCTCCTCGTTTATATCCCAGCCATACCGCTCTGCGAGATCCTTCACTTGAGTCTCGTTTGGTAACGAATAGAGGATGCAGCCTGAGAAGTCTTATTAGTCCGTTTCGTAGGTGTCTGGTTGTTGACCACACTACCATGTTTCTCTACTCGGCGCCTCCTCCATTGGTTAATACGCCCGATTAACTCTTCTTTCGAGACAGTATATTCAACTGGGCCGCGGCTATCTTGGCCAGCATTCAGAAGCTCAATATGCTTCAACATATCGGCGGTAGACTGATATTGTCCACGCCAAGCATTGTCGATTATAGAGTCTAATTCATCACAACCTGTATGAACGAGGGGTAGAGATAGAGAGCAGGGATTGTCAACAGATATCTCGGGACGGACCCCAGTCTCCAATTCGTAGATCAGCGAGCCCATGGCAAATCGATCTGTTGCATCAGAAATAGTTTCTGAAGGACCATTCAGAAGGACTGGACGTGATGGATTGGGATGTCCAAACGGACAACTTGCACTAAAATCACCCAGTAAGGCGTGGTCCTTTTGATCAGACAGTATATTATCCTTACGTAAATCGGAATGAGCGATGCCAAAACGATGGAGATGAACGAGGGCGCGCATAATGTCTTGATACCAAGCAATACGATCGGGCTGAGTGCTTGGTAAAACGCCGGAAAGTGGCTGGTACTTGCGTAGGTAGATACCTTCCGGGTGACCAATGTCAATGGCTTCGATGATATTCGGATGAGGATGCTCTATCAGTAAGCGAAAAACTGTTTTCTCACCTTTCAAGAGGCCCAAAGTGGAAAATGGTGTCTGAAGCATAGTCCCACAAGGCCCGGGGTGTACCGTTGCTCGAAGGAGGTTGGTATACTCTGCAAGCCTTCAAAACAAGACCATCATCGACGTTGTAGATTTGGCCTGCTGCCCCAACGCCTAGAATCTCGAGCCCTATCTGATATTGGATTGTTAATTGGGAATCTGCGTAGTTTGGAGTCTTGCCCAAAGCCAAATTTCTCTCGGCGGGTGCAACATTTCTTCCAATATCTGGTACTGGTCTACTTGGGTAAAGTATCGACAAAGAACGGTCCAAGCGCGAGTAACAGTCGCACAGGCAAATGACCATATAGTCGACCAACGGGAAATAATAATGGTGAGCATTTTGATGCAAGTCCACGAAATATGAAGTTCTCAGGGCCCTTGGACCTACATGAATGAAAGGAAGAAAGGGGGAGTTCAGGCTAACAGAGCCGACCCTAGTTCGTGTCCAAATAAGCCCTGACGGTCAATGGCACGGTGTCACTCAGCAATCTGTCCACCAAGAGGTGCCGTTTGGACTATTACATGTCGAAGGCTACTCCCATTGTTTGATCCACGGGAAATGGTGCCAAATCACTAGATTGACGAGCTATATAGTTTCCAAGAACTGTGGTGAACTGTTATCACAATGTGTCTGTAACCTAGACAATGAGAAAATGACCTGATATGTATTGGACTGTGTCAGGCTCTAAACGACCTTGTTGAAGAGGCAGCAAAATTGACAGGGGTTCACAAAGGTGAAGCAACAGGAAAGATGAAAACTGAGATACTATAGAGAATTTGGCAAAAGCAAAACAACCAACGCAGGCCAAATCGAGCAAGAGTCGGGTCCGTTAGGATATGCTCTCTAACTCTTCCCAGATCGCCGTCCCGTTTTCTCCCTGCACAAGGCGATACCATTGTTGTCTCGTACGGCTCCAGAATCGATTTTTATCACTGGCGATGTATCTCGGAAGAGTGGGGTCTTTGAGCGTTACTACCCATCGAGTTCCAGACGGATCCCGTTTAGCAGTGCGGACATGTTCTGCTAAGAACGAATGATTCTCGGCGATGTCTGTGATATTCACCAAATTCTACATGTCCCATTCAGGTAATCTATCTCTGTCTAAGCTATCGAAGAAGCGGTCGAGTTCACTCCAATGTGCATAACGACGATAGAAAGGGAAGGTAACAGTAGATCCTAGATCCACGATTAGTTCCCCTTTAAAATTTTCCTTCTTAACATCGCGAGGCAGGATGCCACTGCATTTTGAAATATCAAATTTCGAAATAATATTCTTGAAATTTTTATCTTGACGGCTTGGTGGCTCATCAGCAATAAAATCCTTCACGATTGCCCAGCGGGCCCGATCCCAATACGGATCACCTTTCACTGATCCGCTTACTTCCCGAAGCTGTTGAAGTTGAGAGTCCGTTAGATACATCCATCCATGACACCGCACCGCCCACTGGCCATTTTTATGCAGGTCGCATAGACGAGCAAATGCACGCGCTTCACATCCAAATGGGCTGATATACGAAGCGACAACGTCGTCATGATATACGGCTTTGTAGTCATAAAACTGCACGCTCAGTCGTTAAATATTTTCTAGGGGTTGGTGTGGGTCTAGACATAGACATACCAACTTCAGGCAAAGGTCTCTTCTATTGTGCTTAAATCTGAAAACAAAGCCCTGTTAGGTCTTGCATAAAGACTCGGAACATCCAATCATGAGCTGTAGATCGAATTTATGCCTACGTGTATCCTCTATAAAGGATTCCCAGTCTTTCAAGACCCAAAGGCTGTCATGTCTTTGCTGGGTTGAGACAGCGCCAATCAGTATGTTTGCAGACTCTTGATCTATAAGACTATTTGCAAATCCGGTTAGACACGAATAACAATGACTCTGACACGGACTTGCTAGCCCTGGAGTTTCCAAGATCTGCGATTCCTCGCCCCACCCGACGTCAGCCTGGCAATGAGGCGGAGTTCGGCCCCAAGGCATCCTTCTGGACCACCGCAGTTTATGTTGTTCATTTATTATGATGACAACGCCATATTATATCTATGAAGGCCTAGAAATTAAGTAATTCAATCATCCATCTTGACGTATCATGGCTTCCAGCATTACGACCAAAGCCTGCGAGCCCATCGTCAGCAAGACCTTTCCGCGCGATGGCTTGGCTGTGACAGCGTGCGAAATGGGGAGCAATTACTTCGTGGTTGCAAAGGAAGCTGCTCTCTATGTATTCGACTTTGCTGATAAGTCCCTAACTACGCTACAAGAGAAGGGGAATGTCACCTGGTGTCTGGCATTACGCGAGGATAAGAACCGCTTAGTGACGGGTGGGGCCGAGGGTGAGGTCCTGATATGGAATATACGGACAAAGTGACTAGCCTTGTGTCAAGCTTTCCAGATAACGACTGTTAATATTGCCTAGGTCAGTCACTCGCTTATTGAAGGGTCACACTAGCACTGTCCGCAGCCTCCAAATCGTGAATGATACCACGCTTATCTCCGGTAGTCGCGACTCGACCATCTGCATCTGGGACATGGACTCTGATGAAGTTGATCCTAAGCTAGTTCTAAAGGGGCATACGGAAACGGTACGGTGCCTCAAGGTTCATGGCGGGGTGCTCGTTTCCGGTGGTAATGATGGGGAGGCGCGAGTTTGGGTTATCCATACCGGACAATGTCTCCATGTGCTCAAAGGACACACAGGGACTCTGTATGATATATCTTTTGACGGGTCTCGGATTGTCACAGGCAGTCTGGACTCAACTATCCGAGTTTGGGATCCTCAGTCTGGGTTTGTTTCCTTTGCTATCTAACAGCCTCCACGATAGTACCTAACGACGCATCTAGAGCCTGTCTGGGAGTTCTTTCGGGCCACAGTGGGGCCGTCACCCGGTTATGCTTACAAGTGGATACTCTTATCTCTGCGGATACTGTTGGAACGGTGAAAGCGTGGTCCTTAACTACAGCTTCGGGTCGGACTATCGCTGAGGAAAGAGAAGGAAGTGTCATTTCGTTGGCGGCAGATGGTGAAAATATCCTCGTTGGTAACACGAATGGTTCGGCATATCTAGTCCGTCGTGATTCCGGTCCAAGGAAGACACTTGTCGCTGGAGCAGACGCTGTCTGGAACGTGGGGTTCACTCCGTTTAATCGTCCATTGGCAATTTACTTCAAGGGGGGAGATACTCAACTGGACATTTTCTGAAATGCTGCAGCAACGGGTTATCTTATATAAAGCCAGGTTTGTGCTCGTCGCATTGATGGATTGCATGAAGTTCGATAGAGCACGTTCAATCTTCAATTAGGTGGTGTTTAGTGGCAGGAAGGGATTACAATAATCAGAGAGCTACTGGTTGTTTAGATGCTGGTAATTGTGTTATGGAGTTATTTTTAAATCAGAAAGGCCCTGATTCATAACCCACTGAACCTAGAACTCGTACCAAGTAATAGTGAAAATGATTATTGTTTAGGAAACTTAACATGAAAGTCCAATAATACGTATAGAAGCTTGTCTGGACGAGGTATTGATGGAATATACAATCACTGTAAATATGAATAAAGCCATACGAAAGCTTCGTATCAATCTGGTCGTCTAATTTATCATGGCGTCACGGGCTTGTGTGTTGGGTCGTGTTTTTATTTCATTCCCAAGCACTATATACAAATGAGGAACATATCTCTACTCACTCAATGGCAATGGTAAGCCCAGGCAGAAGCTCAACCTGGCCTGGCCTCTCTCCATGAAAGGTGAGCGTGACCGCTGTTTCCTCATCATTCACAGACAGGGAGATGGTGTGCCTGCCATCTCCCGACCCCGAGGGAACCTCATAATGCCAGGTTCCGGGTTCCAGGGCCCTAGAACCCTCAGGGGTGTAGATCGCATCGTACACTGTTGACAGATCGGAATGCTGTGCCCCAGGAACAGACACCGAGAGCGAGGATATCCCTTGAACCCCACTAGGATGCTGGGTCAGATCGAACTGCTCCTGGTAGGGCACCCGTAAGTGCCGAGGAGTTCTGTCCAGACACCAAAACGGCAGATGGCCCGGGGAGATTGCGTTTCCATGGGCGTCTCTCGCAGCGCTGACGGCCCATTCCAAGACGACTCCGTCCTCCCTCTTTCGACCTCCGGGAATCGGATCTTGGTACGACAAACCAGCGTTCGAGTCAAGAATTCGCTGCTGAACGGCAGCGAAATCACTCTCGCTTGGCAATGTGAGGGCCCAGTCAATAATCGTGTTTTCCTTCAGGTTTCCCCAGCGATGCTTCCTGCGCTGCTCGGGGGAGGCATCTTTGGCAAACGCAATGAACTCGATGTAGACTCCATCCGGGAGGAGTATCAATTTGTTCGAGGTCAGTCCGTCGGCATGAGTCCCGCCCGGCGCTACAACGAAGTAATCCTGGAGACGGTCGGATAGGCTGAGGAGGGAGTCATGAGGGATGAGAATGACGATGTGATCGAGGCTGGGACGAGACATTATGTACTCTGAAAAAGCGTGAAAAGACAATTGAGAATATGAGGCTATTTGGTAACTTGCTTTCTTAAAAAAACAAGAAAACCAGCGGATTTTGGAGAAATAAACAAAAGGAATGAGGGGAGAATATTTGTATCTCTGGTTGAATTTATCATTCCCCGCAGCTATTATGTGATCGTATCGCGATTCCCCGCCGAGTCTAGAGCGGGTTTTCCATAACCCCGCATATCCTACAGTATCCTATAAGCCTGTCACTCTATGCATCTCCTTAGGCCTTTGGTCTCAAAAGAACCGTAACGACCCTGCCTCATTTCATTCCAGTGATGAGCATAGATAGGCACTGGCGCTACCAATGGTAGTTACGAAGGTTACAAATCCATATCGTGGAACATATTACCTTTGCTGATAGAACGAGAAGCAACAGGGCTGTATTTTGAGGTCTAAGTCCTAACCTATCACAAGAAACCAGCCACCACCAGCACTTAACACCCTTTCAGAACACCAGCTCTGAAGTGAAGAAGCATTCCTTATCCCTGGCGACGTTTTCTACGCCACACTGTACCCGCTGTCCACGCCATGTTGCAATCTAGTGTGCGTTGTCCATGTTCAGTTTGAATAGTAGGAAGCAAATCTACCGTCTAACGCATTAGTATTCAAGAATAGTGGCAAGAAAAGATACAAAAATATACTGACCCCTGTTAACGGGAGCCATCTTAGCACAGCTCCTGGTTCGGTATATACCAATCGTGAGCCAAAGCCACAACGATACAAATAAGCCCTGAGTGATATGAATTAAGGTCTGTGGGTGCGCCAAAGACACGTGGAGGGTCATGCAAGTGGTGACCGTGGATATCACATATTCAAGCGGGGTGATATGCATTGTGGACAGAAAGTCAAGTTTGCCGTGTGTGTTTTAGAGAATTGCTCTGCTCAAAACACAAAGAGAAGATCTGAATAGCAAGTTCATATGGAGAAGACTTCAGTCTACCTTACCAGGGCCCCAAATGTCCCTTTTGTAGATCGCTTACCCGTTGATTCATGATGGAGATATTGGGTTGTTCCCACAACGGCGGAACCTGTCATGAATAGAAGGGCGTTATGTTAGGAGTAAGACAGGAAGAGTGCCTTCGGTCGGATTTTATATTTCCATTTTTTGTTTCAAGGTCCGTTCCGCTGCAAACCACGGTACAGAATCGGAGGCATCCTGTCTTTATCAATCAGATAGAACAAAGTGGAGAGGAAATCCCCTCGCTTTGTACGGAGTCGGCATTAAATAGGGCAAAAGACGGCAAGCCCTCGGGTCATTTTGGCATGATCCAACTCTCCGCCGGCAATCTTGAGTTGCCAGAGTACTCGCAAAGGAATATCCCCCATAGCCAATATTGCCACATATTTAGCAAAGACCATCATGACTGCTTTGTAGGCTTCATAACCTACAAGCGCTTACATAACCACGTATAGTTGGTAAGTCACGTGCATCAATGTGCAAAAGATACCACGATAGACTTGTCCAAAATTTTGCAACTCAGAATGGCTGACTAGAGTGCAGAGCTCCTGAGTGCAGCCCGCGTATACGCAACGGAAAGTCTCTGCGAGGGTCTGAGCCTTCCTTCCCGCAGGAGCTTGACACCTATCGGGCATTCTGATGCAGATCCCAGGGTTTATCTAATCATCCTGATAATCCCCTGAGGGCATGTGGAGTCAACGATTGGCCGTCAGTCCGTGACCAGTGAAAAGCTTGGTAGAAGCTAATTCGCAGTTATTATTATCCCGCTTATCAGGCTGGAAGGGTCTCTTTTTGATTCCCTCTGCGCCTCCTCCCAAGGCGTTGTCAGACTCACTTGAAACGTCGATCCAATCTCCCTTTGGCTTTACTTCTTCGCCCGTCCCGCGATGTGCACTGCCCCCCGTCATGACTTTTCCACTCAAGAATGCTGGGGCGAGACCCTTGCATTATTGCGGTGGGTCTCCGAAGATCGTGGCTGCCTATCGGTCCGAGAACCACGGAAAGCAATCAAGCTTTGGGGCATCTCAAGCAGGCAACGTCAATTACCCAGAGTCTTTTGGCGGCTCCTTATTGTTAGCTCCCCCCCCCAATCTCCGCGCGCGCACTTGCCATCTTTGCTTCTCATGAATTGACATTGATCTCAGTCTTCCTCTCGGCTAAGAGCCACCGCAATGCTTCGAAATTACATCATATCTCTAGCCTGGCTGTTGGGCATGGTGCAAGCGGCACCCTCGGAAAACTCCAAACTCCATCACCCTCCTAACGTGTTTTCAAAAACAGATAAATATCCTTTTCCAAATCAAGGCCACATCCACGCTCATGACCCTAATATCGTGCAGCACGACAATAAATTCTACCTGTTCAAAGGAGGGATCCAAGTCCCCATATTCAAATCATCCAGTCTGTCAGGGCCCTGGACGAAGGTTGGCACAGTCCTAGACGGCCCCTCGGTCATCGACAAACAAAACCGCACGCGCCCCTGGGCTCCAACGACTGTGGAATGGAAAGGGAAGTTTTACTGTTTCTATACTATCAGCCAAGACGGAGTTCGCAATAGCGCTATCGGCGTTGCAAGTACAGACTCGATCGAAAGTGGCTGGACAGACCATGGAGGCCTGATCTACACGGAAAAAGGGCCTTTGGCCCATGTCTGGCCATATACTGTGTCCAATGCCATTGATGCCTCCTTCATAGCAGACCAACAGACCGGACAGCCGTACCTGCAATTCGGAAGCTACTGGCATGGTATTTTCCAAGTGCCCTTGGCCGATGACTTGCTGTCTGTCAAGAACCCTGAGCATCCAGCCGCGAAGAATTTGGTACATTTACCAGATGGGAATCCGAAGCCGGATGAAGGGTCCTTTATGAGCTATAAGGAGCCCTATTATTATTTGTGGTTCAGTCATGGAAAATGCTGTCAGTTTAACAAAGGTTTCCCAACTATGGGGCAGGAGTACAGTATCCGTGTTGGAAGGTCAAAGGATGTGCGAGGCCCGTTTGTGGACAAGCAGGGAAAGGAACTGACAGAGGGCGGCGGCAACACTGTCTATGACTCGAACCATGGAATCGTCTATGCTCCCGGTGGACTCGGTGTGCTGCCTGCCAATACCACGGATCCAGACGTTCTATATTACCATTACCGTATGCTTATCGACATCGCCTTTCATTAATGGTCCGGCTAACATCCACCCTCGCAGTTAACACAAGTGTCGGATTCTCGCATGGCGTGAGTACATCAGGGAACTATCAGCATACAGCCACTAATAACGACCTTCTAGGATGCCCTTCTGGGTTGGAACTATCTCGACTACGAGGATGGCTGGCCTGTCGCAAGGTATGTCCCCGCGCACCATCAAGAGGAGCTGATACTGATAGTTTTGGCAGAGGAACGGAGAACTTCGCAGCTACTGTTCGGCCTAACTACTCCTTCATCGTGGCCGCCATATTGTGTATGTGTTGCTTGGCTCTGATTCTACTTCCAGTTCGCTTTACTGGTCAAAGGCTCATGCTACCCTTTATATTACTAGTCGCGACAGGCTTTCTATGGCTCCACGGGTGATATTGCGTTGGATTTGGATGGTTGTCTGAGTTTTTATGATACCCTTTTCATGTACCAAAATCAGTTATTTCGATTGAGATGCACAGGTGTGTGTAAGATGTGGTTGGGCTCATGTATAGATCACGTCCGCAAGTATCGCTGGATGACACGCGTGTACATATGTTTATAGACTACACTTAAATATGACGGTGGACCGTATCACTTCCGTCAATTCCCCAAAACAACCAACTTATGGATCCCAACCGCCATCCACCTGAAGGACCGTACCAGTTGTAAACGAGGCAGCGTCACTGAGCAGGAACAACACCGACTGCGCAACTTCATCCGCCGTCCCAGTGCGTGGAATGATGGTCGGGGGCTGTGTATACCCGCCTTGAATGACAACCGACTTGTCCAGCAAAGGAGTCTGAATCGATCCCCTATAACATAACCACATCAGCATCGCCCACAAACATGCCACCCCCAGGGGGCAAAAACAACACCAAACAACAGTTGACAGAGCAAGGACAGGATACTCACGGCGCAACCGCATTAACCCTAATATCCGGCCCAACCTCCTTGGCCACACTCTTCGTCAACCCAACAACGCCATGCTTCGACGTCGAATACGCCACATGCAATGCAAACCCTCTCACTCCCTGAATACTCGTCGCATTGACGATACTGCCCTTCCCCACCGTCGCAGAAATACTCCTCACCTGGGCCCGCACGCAATACATCGTCCCCGTCAAATTCACCCGCAGCAGCCGATCCCACTCCTCATCGTCCTGCTCCGTCAATCGACCCGTCCCGTGCTTCTTCCCAATCATCCCCGCCATATTGGCAGCGCCATCCAACCGCCCGAAGCGCTGGACCGTAGCCTCAATCCACGCGTCCACTGACTCCGAAGACCCCACGTCAACCTTGGTCGTGAGCACATTCTCAGCGTCGGAATCGAGTTGCGCAAACGCGGCCGCGAGGGCCGTCTCGTCGATGTCGGCTAGGGAGAGACGCGCGCCGGAGCGGTAGAGTTGTTTCGCGACGGCGAGGCCGATCCCCGCGAGGCCTGTTACGGCGTAGACCTTTCCTTTTACTGATTCCATTGCTGTTGGGCTTTTGCGTGAGTTAGGTTGTGAGGAGAGGCGATGTTGCATATGGTGGGGGATCTTCGAGAGGGGTAGACGACTACTCGGTCGGAGATACTCCGAGTAGGTTGCATTCGGTTCATTTGGCAGAATGCGGGTAAATTGTGAAGGGTAGGTGGGCTTTATTTGGTTCTTTCTGGGGCTGGTTGGTGGTAGTAGCTGTGGTTTTGTTGGTTGGGGGGAGTATATGTACTTGACTGGGGTTATTTGACTTTTAGGGTTACGTTGTGATGCTGTTGATTGTTTCTTGTGTGGACTGCGGTGTCACTGCTTGTCTTCTCGATGAAAACATCACTGGATGGACAAGTATGTAATTATATATATTGAGAAGCTAAGAATAGGAGATATGATTTGTGTACTGAGTACATACTGCAGGCCTGGCTGTCGTTCCTATATATGCAGGCTTTGAGCCGGCCCTGCATTGCATAGCATTCATCCAATAGACTATTCCATGTGGTGTATCGCCTGTATTAATCCAGTGGCGTGGGCATCCTGAATGGAATCCAATATCGAGTATGTAGGGTATTGGAAACGAAGTGCTACGTCCCTGCGATCAGTAGCTAGGGCTAATGTGTCTATTTCCAGATCACGGGAGATTTCTATATCATGCCCCTAAGGAAACACATTTCCACTCACCATCAGCTGACTTTCTTATTCTATTAACTGTTGCTGTGTTTTTGTTCAGATCGCTTGCTTCTTGATTTAAACTACATATATACAGTAAGCACCTCATTTCCGAGTCAGAGCTACAATGCCTTCCACCCTTTCCCTGGACACCGGACGACGCAAAAGCCATCCAAAATGCCAGACAGTATCCTCCTGTGACTTGATTGACTGCTTCAAGTGTGGCCATAAATTAAAATGGCCATGCGGCATGCCAGGATAAGCATCAAGCCTCACCTCAACGCCATTATCTCTCAGAACCTTCGCATAGACAATGCCGTCATCGCGGAGAATATCCAGCCCTGCGACCTGAACATACGTCCGCGGAAGAGCAGAGAACGGCACTGTCGAGTTAAAAGGCGAAAAGTCCTCCGACAGGCGATCTTGCTGGTAGAGAGCCTCATATCCTTTAATCGATTTGGTATCTAGACCGGGATTCCCAGGCGCATACGCGTTTTGCTCCCGAGATACCCAAAGCTCCTTGTATTTCTCCGGCACAGTCTCTTGGCTCATACACACTGGAATACTGGCCAGAACGCCCGTAATCGGCGGCGAGAGCTTCTCTTTCACTGCGCGGTGCGCGGTCACAATTGCAAGGTTTCCGCCGGCTGATCCGCCACCTAGCACAAACCCTTTCGTCAGGTCGGCGTCAAGCGCAGACGCGCTAGCTGCTATCCACTGCACACTATCCCAGATGTCGTTTGGGGCTGTCGGAAACTTGTGCTCCGGTGCTAGGCGATAGGACGGCTGGACCACGGTGGCACCGTACAGTGCTGCGATCGTGCGGGCCCAGACAATCGATTGGATGTTACTGCCCATGACGAACGCTCCGCCGAAGATTAGAACAACCACCGGGTTTGCCCCGGATGAGTTGCCCGGCTTGACGATGTGGAGATTGCTCTGATGTCCATCGCGCATCGGGATATCAATCACTGTTTCCTGGGTGTCGAAGCTGGGACAGGAATCATATGCGGTTTTCTCCATTGCCGCAACTATTTGGCGGACTGGCTCAATGGGTCCCGAAAGGTCCATCGGAGGGGTGGGGCTATGCCGCAGAATCTTATGCACGATGAGATGAGGCAATATTCAGGAAAAGGTTGGCTGCTCACTTACTTCTTCGAGCTCTGGGTCGACGATGCCTAGCTTGAGGACATCCTCTTTCGTGTTATATTGGTCCATCACTGCAGTTGAGTGGCTTTGGCTTGGGATGTGGATTGACTGGCTCATTCAATTGAGGTCACTTGTAAGCTACGAATTTCTTCATTGGGAATGCAAGGTCTTTTATAGAATCCTCTATGACTACGTTGGTTCTGTATACAAAATGGCCCATGCAGGCTCATAATGACTCATTTATAGTCATGATGATTGGCGCAGAATATGAGGCAGCGGGTCTTGGCGCTAGGGTAAGGCGAGCAGTCGAAGAGTGAAGGTGTATGTATATTCTGCTGGGAGCTCTTCAAACGTTCAGGTAAGGTTGGAGAGGGAGCTGTTGTATACCGGATTCAAACAAGTTCAATACTATGTACAAAAATTGAATTCTGCACACTATTTCCAACCCCACCCGTCACTGGGTCCGGTTTGCGGGGATCCCGATCCACTCTATCTAGACAAGTCAGTCGCGCGTATTTTCCCCAGAGCCAATCTACTCATTGCTCCAAATCCAGTGATCGGCGTAGGCAGACTTGTTTTATTCTGTTTATCATAGCCTGATGACTATCATTCTTCAATCCTGTGGCGGTCTAGACCTACTAGTTACACTTTGTAAACTTCACTAACAGTCAACCGCATGATGTCGATGTTTAGTTGAGACCTCTACGGACACAGCTCCTATAAAAATAATGAACCAAGAGTACGGAGTACTACACCTTCTACTCAGAAGAGCATTTGGATTAATCACCTATTGACAATCTAGGCAGTGTGAGATACACCAGCACCTCCATTACGCTTACACAGCACACAGCTCTCAGTCATACTCCGTCAACACATCACAAGAACACATCTTCCCCGTCCGATTCCACACACTCGAAGCTCGAAACAAGGAATGGACGCTTGAACGTGTGGCGTCCCTCATGCAAAGTGTAAGAGTGAGAGGGGCCTGAACGACAGAAAGGGTCCCTGGCGTTGTATTAGCTAACGATTCTCAGGGGACGAGACAGCAGTATCATCATACTTATAGAATGTACATTCAATCCCAGTTCCAGGTCTGTATGGTGCAATTATTATATGGCTTATGGGCGTATCCTGGACGCTGTGGATTGTTAGCATTGTATAACTTGCCGTTCGTAGGTCTACATACTCCGGGTCGGCCGGTACACATTCAGAGGATTGGGCAAAATGCGCGGACTCTGAATCTGGAGTCTCTATAATGACCTATTTTGTCTGTTAGTGGTTGCAACTGGACTTATAACACGTAAATGGACGGTAGAATAATAAACATACTGTTGCAATTGGACTGTTTGCGAAGCTAGTGCTTACGAAGAGTGCAAGCGTGGAAGCGGCGAGGAGGGAGAGACGCATGGTGGTGGATCAAGCTGGAGAATACTGGTTGTCTTGGAAGTAGAAGTTAGTAGACGAATTTGTGCAGCACAAAGAGAAAAGCTCTGGAGGATGGGGGAGCAATTCACTTTATAATGGCTAGATCTTCAAATAAGCTCGATGACATATATGACATCTTGGACTTGCACGTACCAGGTATATCCCCGGTCCTCGAATGCGTCGATTTTGTAAGGCAATCCGATCGAGAGAAAGTCAATGATGTCTTGATGTAACCTTTCATTGGAATGTTGAAAGTACTACTATGTTTGACAGCGACTATATCATATGAGTCTTATGACAATATATCAATACTTTCTTCATTCTCCCTAGGGATCACTACACTCATTGCTCCGTAAAATAGTTTCTGAGCCTTCAGAAAAATCTAAGAGCGATATCTGGAAATAAAAACGATGCTCGCTGAAGATCGGAATGTCAGTCGCCAGATCAGCGGTTCCATGTACCAAAAAGCTGCACGCGGTGCCAAGCTTCAGAAATTTCACTTAAAGGGTCTGGAGGAGTTCACCATAAGCGTAAAGAGGGCTATGAATATTATCTCGTAAATATTAACTCTCAATAGTGGTGATATCACGAGCAATCGCAGTGTAACTGCGGAATGTCCGGATATAAACTCCGCTGCGGGTCGAAGCTCGAAACATGGTTCACGTATCCTACGGGTACCAATTACTCTATTAAATGGGACTCACATAACATGGGAAGAATATTTTGGCATCAATATGGGCTGAGGATTTTCCTTGACCTTGGACTTCAAAATGCAAAGGTGTAGTAGTGTCTGGCAAGTGAGACGTGGTCCAAGTGAAGGAGGCAAAACATGGCATGTGTCGATTTTAGCCCAAAGGAAAATCATAAATAAATAATAACAAACGATCACCATAGGGCAAGAGCCGGTTCCTACAGCCCTTCAATTTTTGGACCTACTTCAAACTGCAAAGAAGATGTAAAAGTGAAGACGCTGTCCATCAGAGTAGTCTGATATATTGCTATCTACCACAGACTGACTCACCCCAAAATCTGAGCTAAGCACATACATCAAGACCTGCCACAAATTCTCAAACACGCAGACAAACCAGCACTTAGTCCCATGATCAACCAACTTCCCAACATAGCTGGGACCCTTTCATCCCCAATCGATGCTTATATTGGTATAAGCAGGTGCTGCTTCACTGTGCCGTTTCAGTAGCACAAGCGAACCCTTCGTCCTGTTTATAGACAATCTTCCCCTCTGCACCCTGTCAGTAAGAAAGCATATCCATACAAGAGCAAGACGCTTACCAATATTGATCGTCTTCTTCGCCGCCATCCTTTCGGGATCCTTATCACTCTCATCCACGTTTTTGCACCAGCATTGGATCTCATGATCCTTGAGTATACAGCGATCGCACTGGCCATCTCGGAATCCATTGCCACTAAACCTTTCGTATTAGCAGGTTACTCGCGATAGACTCCAAGTGTTACATACTCCTTCTGGGAATGCTCCTTATGGGCGACAAGGCTGTGTGTGTTCGTATCCCAAGCGAAACATTCGTTCAGCCCGATTGTCGTATCCGTCCAACTCACAGTTTCCCCGTTTTGTTTGGTTGCGCACCTTCCAACTAAGAGTTGGAGTGGCGTCTCTTCGTTTTTGTCGCCGTTTTCGTTGAGGCTTGGGACCGTCCAAACATGGAGGAGTTTGCAGTCTTTGAATATGTCTTGCGTTTCCACGCTGCTTGTCTCGTGCTGTTCGTCGGTGGCTTGACTAGCAGCTAGAACAGCTAGGGAAGAGGTGACAATCAAGGACCAATGCATTCTGCTCGATGAAGGGAAGAGTAAGATGGGGGTGGATTTGGAATTCTGGGAAACAAGAGATACAGAATCAGGATCCCAATTGGGGTATTTATATCCAGATGCGAACATTTATTCGCAACTTATATTGTGTACGTACAACGTCTCCCAGCCAGGAATGTCGTTGTTAAAACTTGAGTTATATGGAACGGGGCAACCGGGCGCTTCGTTGTGCTCTGGGCCTGAGAAGCCCTGTGTAACAAGACATTGTCAATAATTCACGGCAGTAGAAGTTATAGCTCATACAATGAATGATCTGCCCTGGTTTAAGCTTCCCTTGGTGGTGCAGAGCTGGGTAGCTTTGACAATGTGCCACCAACGGAACAGATGTCAGCGCATCGGGAACTCACGCTGAAGCTATCTTTTGTCAACCTAACTGATTCTGTTGATGAGCTTCATAGCCCTCGTCTTCACTCGATTATTTTGTATGATCACTATCTACTAATTGATTGTAGGAATACGTATAATAATGAGTCTAGAGAATGTGAAGGGGCTTATGTGGTCACATGATGGCAGTGCGCCATATTCATCAAGTATCCATTGCCATAGACAACCCAGCAGAGACGTACAGAGGTCGAGCTTAGCTGTAGCTAAATTGAGATATGTACGTGGCATCTTCTGTAGACCGCTATTTCGAGGATCTACGAGTAGAGACATAGTTAAACTTCATGCCCAGATTCTTGACACAACCCAGTAACACCTGTATGTCTTTATATCAAACTTCCAACCTTCTTTGTGGCAAGCTCTATTATGGAGTAGGCTTTGTATAGCTCCTAGTCAGTGGTTACGCAGTATCAGCATAGGAAATCAAATACTGTGTCCTAAAGAAAGTTTTTCTTCGCCATTTCACCTCTGCAGAATAAACCTTGGTGAATTAATGATAAAAGGGTCTGAGCTATAAACGTAATCTTGTACAGTCAAGACTCTTTGTCACACCTATTTACATTCTAGAACGCGGTAAGGTGTATAAAACTACTTTGCACATGCCCTGGGGTTTAGAATAAAGTTGCTGTTGCATATCAGCCCTAACTACGCTCTGCTTCCGCGCCCAAGCAAGCCGTCTTGTCCGCCTCCTTCTACCTCTTTATCCAGAGCTAATAGACGTCTTGCGCGACGACGTATCGTATTCTATTATGGCGTAGCAATAAGCACTTATCCGATTCATGGATGCTTGCCACTGTTAAGGATAGGACCTCACTTGTTAGCCGGAGAAGTGTTTTGTTGAGAGCGCCACTATAGACCCTGGCGTCGAGCCAAACAGCATCTCTCTTCGCTTCTAGGTCCTGGCCTGCGCTCTTAACATCTCTGGGCGCTGACCGTATGACAGACTGTCATACAAAACCCTCACTAAGGAATGCTCTAAGTGTCTCCCTTAAAAAGGGGGACTCGAGAGCGGGTAGTATACTATCATTGAACATATCCAACTAACCGACAGATGGAATAATTCAGATCAATGGAATATATTCAGTTCATATATATACATATCTATGCTCATGTTTATGTAATCTATCTCTATAACTTGCTCGCTCGCCCAGCCTCATTGGCCTTCTTCCACATGCGGATCCGCCGTTCATGTCCAGCATTAAAATCATCCACCCACTGCTGCTCGAACGGCGGCAGTATCCGTCCTGGCTCTCCCTCGGCTGGCTCGCCTGCGAGCTGTCGAAGTTGTTCGAAATACGTCTCAAAGTCGGGATTTATCATCAAGAATCCCGGACCGTCGCCCTTCTTTGCGATGCGATCCTGTTCCCACCTCCGCTGTTCTTCCAGAGATGGCAGATGTGCCTTTCCGGCCAGAACGCGCGCGGCGGCCACGGCTTGCCATTCGAAGACCTTGAAAGTCAAACCGGCGCCAACCTACTCCAGTGAGTTATTGTTTTTTGTGTAGTAGACACATCGAGGAGACATACCGCTCCTAAGAACACCAGGGAGGGATCCCGCTGGTGGAACACGTGCAGATAGAGATCCGGTACACGGTTGTTTCGGATCGGGATATCAGGTAAGAATGGCAGCGTCCAGGTGAAGCCGGTACCAAAGATGACGTGGTCGACGTCTGCTACTGACGTCCCGTCCTCGAAGTGCACCGTCCGCTCCCCGTCTTCGGTGGTTATATGCGAAATAGGCGGGCGGCGCTCAATTTGAGGGTGCTTGAACGCCTCGTCGCCAAAGTAGGTGTTGTACTTTCCGCGCACAACGGCAATAATGGGGCCCTTTGCATGGTTTACCAGACTCACAGCGGTGTCTGCAGCGGAGACGGAGGCTCCGACGGTAATTACCCGCTGTTGACCTGTTAGCCATCCATGTGGTCAAGGAAAGTGGGTCACTATGCATATAACTGCAGGTAATAAGCATCTTACCTTGCCCTTGTACTTTTCAGGTCCTCGGTACTGTTTTGTGTGCTCGACACTGCCGGGGTACTTCTCTGCGAATTCCTTCAATCCTTTGATGGCAGGGACATATGGCACCGCATAGTGTCCGGAGGCAACCACCAGAGCGTCGAAGGTTTCCGTCCACCAGTAATCCAAGCCATTCGGCTCGCCGGCGCGTCGCAGAGTTAGAGTCCATTTACCGGTTTGGGGGTCCTTTTCTGCCCGCTCAACAGTCGTGTTGTACTCCACGAGGTCTTGATATCCGTTTCGGTTCAAGAGATCCTCGATGTACTGCCTTATCACCGTGTGGTGACGGAACGGCGTGTCGGGGCCGTGGATCTTAACAGACCAGTCGGAAAGGATATCCGGAATCTGCTCCTGCGAGTACTCCATGACCGAGGCAGCCACATTGGCGTGCAGAGTGGGGTAGACATGAGAGTCAAAGTAGCGGTGCTGAGACACTGTGGGAACATATCGGGGCAGATTGGCGGGGATTGAAACCGGCCTATCTGCAGTCCTCGCAGAAAGATTGTCGATGTCCAGAGGGACCGGTTTCTCATTCTCTCTTGACACCCTATTGGCCGTTAATTACATCGGTCCTACCGTCAATGTTTCCAGATCTTTGCCTACCAGCATCCGCCAGCCTTTTCTTGCCGTTCAAACACGCGCACAACGTCGAAGCATTTCTCCTGCACTAGCGCATCGACTGCAATGGCACCAGCAGGGCCAGTACCGATGACCGCGACACTTTTATTCGGCGACATTTTGGGGATTTGCTATCTTACAGTGGAGATACCGACTGGTGGTGGGTTTTTATCTGGTCGGTGTTCGGCCTTTGCTCCTTGGCTATCGTGATGCAAACACCGAGCCCGATGGCATCAACAAGGACCATTCACCGAGCAAGATCAAGACTGAGACGATAATGATTCGTAGTTGGCCAATTGACCTGAATATATAGGCATGTGATAGTTACAAAGTTTTTCATGACTTTCAAGCAGCAAGCATAGTATCCTTCATGATATATCGACCAAAACGACGCAGTCTTCTGACGCGATATACAATCGCCGAACACTCCTATACTCTTAATTGTGTTCCTGAGGCACCGCTCATGCAGAGTTTTGCTGTTTCATACCTGAAAAAGTTTAGCGTAGCTTTCAAGACTGCCAGCCAAGTGGTGATTGGTCAATTGCTGAGAAAAATTATCAGCACCGGGGAACTAGTGCATTTCGAGTATGGTTCCTGGTTAAGCTTCGAATGTTGGTTTGGCCTTTCCCATATCCAGTATAGCGTACCTCGGGATGGACTCCGAGTACCTAATTTTTAGTTTTCATGCTTAATTCCCTGAGAAATACATTCGGGTTTATTCACTTTACTTGGAGATTATTTCAATTTTTGTGAGCCATATGGCTGGTATGATGATTCACTTCCTTACGACAAGTCAGTACTGTCTCAAACCAAAGCGGGTATTGTCCCTGATGGCCAGTAAATGAAGCTGACTATCGTACGACGATGTACCTCGTAGTCTCGGAAAATAGCCTCCTTCGTACTACCGAGACAAGGAATAATCCTGGACTTAGTCGTAGTCACGTCGTACATAGTCGAATTAGGGGAATGAGCAAACCCTACGTCTACCATGGACTAACCCTTGTTTCCACAAATCAACGCATGTTTCCACGAAGGAACAAAAATCAAAGAAAATTCACTGGGAACACGAGTCTTGGCCATAGTGAGGGAGCAAGGTCCATGCTGTCTCAGAGCTTAGCTTGAGCTTAGTGGACGAAGGGTCGCGCTTCGATGGCGGTTACACTAGGGATGGTGGGATCCGGGAGTAGGAACGTTGCTTCCTTTCTCTATACTGCCAGCCAATCTACGAATGCTGACACCGTTCAGCAAGCGCGAATGCCCCTACGTCCAGATGCTAACTTCTCCTTTGTCGCTGTGCAACAATGTCCAGTTCTACATGCCAACCACATCCTTCCACTTTTCTTTCTCTCCGCTCCCCGTCATTGCTCCTGACTGACAGTTGTTACTGCTAAATTGGCCTTCATTGTTAAACAGTCTAGTCTTCCACTGTAGACAGATAGTGTCAGCCATGGGTTTTTCGCGAGTTCGTCTGCTTGTGCTCTTCCTTCTAGCGTCGCTCCTGCTATTCCTCACGTCGCCATTGGCCGTCCAGCTTCGTCTGCTCCTCCGGATGCCTTTCATCTGGCAAAAGTCCGCAGCCGACTCCATCATCTCACATGACCGCGACGCCTTCGATGTCACTTTTCGCGCCTACGATGGCGAACAACCTCCCTCAGCGCCCCCTCATCCATCTCCCGTTCCCGCGACTCTCCACCATGTCCACCTCGGCGACACAGCCCTCCGACCAGAATGGCTGGCCGCCAGGGAAGAGTGTCTGAGGATACATCCCGGCTGGAAGACACACACCTGGGACGACACAACCGCCAATCAATTCGTGCGCGAACACTTCCCCGAGCTCCAGGATACCTGGAACAGCTACCCATACCTCGTCCAGAAGGTGGATGCACTGCGCTATATGATCCTGTACATACACGGAGGTGTGCGTGCCCTTCCCAGCCATAACATGGCCCCTTCAGTGGACATTGTGAACGGGACTGACCTTTGCGCGCCACACGCATTGCCATCATAGGTGCAATCTTAGACCTTGATCTCGTCTGCAAGCGATCGCTCGAGCCACTGCGCAGGTTCAACTTCGTTGCGCCCGCCGCCTATCCCGCCGGCTTTTCCATCGGCATGCTTCTTTCCACTCCGAAGAACTCTTTTGTCCGCGATTTGATTGATAACTTACCTCGGTTCAATCGTCGGTGGTTCCTGTTTCCGTATGTGACGGTTATGTTTAGTACTGGGTGTCATTATGCGTCGTGAGTTCTCTTTTTCTGTCTATCTGGGCTATGAATCTGTGTTATGCTAAGTGGTGCTCTGTGTAGGACGATTTATACTACCCAGCCAAATCGAACGTCGCTCCGTGTCTTGTCCGGTCCTTCCGATAATCCGAATTTGCATATGCTGAATGGGTTCGTGGATACCCCGCTCTTCCGACATCTCGGGACGTCATCTTGGCATGCGAATGATGCGCTGTTCGTTCGGATGGTTGAGGAGTTTGGAGGACGAGTTCTATATTGTGTTCTTTCTGCGGTAGTAGTGGGCGGGTGTGTCATGGTTTCGTTGTCTCTAGCGGCCCGACGACGTTCTGTGAGAATGGAGACGCCAACGTCGCCATCTAAGGTTTCTGAAAAGGTCGTCTGAGTATATGTATGTTTTTGGGTTTTTCTGTTCATTCTTATTCTATTGTCACGAATACTGTGTCTACTATGAGCAACGAGTGATGTACATACAGTATCCACATATGAACTTTGGTAATCCGCATAGCACACTCATACAGTTATACTCCACTCAACCCTAAGAATGCTAGTATCCTATACCCCATCCCATTTCCTATTCTACTCATTCAGACCACCCTCCTCAAATCATTCACCCACATATACCGACTGATCAATAGGTAAAACACCCGATCAAACGAATACTGACTCCCGTGTTGACTAAACGCCCTCCGCGCCTGGAAATACCTCCGCCAGTCACTCACCAACAGCGCCCTATCCCCGTAGGGATCCTGCATCGTATGGCTCTTCTCATTGTTGACTTTGACCCCATCATACTCCGGTGGCGCAGATACAAGCGCCCGCAGAATGCGGCCTGAGAAGGACATGGACGTCGGAATCAAATCCGCTAGACCGGCGTACTTCCGCAGCAGGAATCTGGTCTGCAGTGTATACGCCGGTGGACTCTGTGTGTTTTTGGATATATATTTGCTAGGGCAGTGTTAGTTGGTTCGATCATACTTTCCCTTGCAATATCAAAAAATATGATATCGTATTATTTCACAACTACCAAAGCAGAAGTGGATAAAAGAAGAAGAGAAAGAAGAAGGAGAAGAACAAACCTAACACCCGCACTAACCGCGCGATGATTAACATGTCCAGATACACCCCCGCTATCGAACGTGATGATCTATTGAATATACATACGTTTTAAGTTAAACCCATTATAACGCTTTGGATGTGGAAAAGAGACCCACCAAATCAATGTTCCATTTCTGGACGTACTGCCCCACAAGCTCCTCGATGAGATCCTCCCGCCACCATTTCCGGGGATTATCCTGGAGCTCGTAGTGATCTAGGTTCAGGCATCGCTCGGGCGTAATCCCGAGTTCGGCACAGCTGTGCTGCAGCTCGCTGTGGCGGGTGTTGCCGATGCCGTCATAGTTGCCTAGGTGTATTTGTTTTCTTGTTAGAGGGTGATGTGTGTCCGGGTGGAGAGATACGAGTTTTGTTAGTATGAGAACGGTGGGGGGGGGATGAAGACGAACCAGATGAAAGCACCAATATAGCCCGCGTTACGGTCGCATCGTCGCTGTGATAGAGAATACTCGGGCTGAAGAAGAGGGTCTCGTCGTCTGGATGCGCGGTGACCAGGAGGATGTTCTTGGCCGTGCGGAATACGCTGGGGACGAGACGGGGGTCGTTGGCGAGGGGGTAGGCCAGGAGATGGTAGAGGAACAGGGGCGCGACGAGGAAGACCGTGGTGAAGAAGAAAGCGAGTGTGGCGGGTCTTCTCCAGATGCGCTGGATTAGGTGTTTGATGAGGCGTCGCATTGCGCCATTAGTTTTTTGTGTCTACTGTAGTATGTTCGGATGGTGTCGGTGACTTCGAGTTGTTGGTAGAAGTGATATAATACGGTATTGTTGTTCCATGGTTGGTGGCACTGCAGCTGTTTTTACCAGGTGAAGCTAGTTTGGACTGCCGTCTTACGGTACTGTCGTATTGAAAAGTGTCCTTGATTACAACCCATCTGGATATCTCGCAGGAATGGAATACACTGGGTTCTTATTGTCGGTCATTGATAATGATCGAATAAATTACTTGTATTTGATACAGGAATGGAGTTCCCAATGCTTGTCTGTCAGTTAGCGGGGCTGAACAAGAGGGGCGAGAGCATGTATTAAAAGAAAAAGGCTAGGGCTTTCCAAGATCACGACGAGTAAGGTTACTTTGTGGATAGAATGGTGATCGTGGTTAGTATAAATACTTACCCTTCAACTAGTACCTGACTAGATGACACTCTTAGGAAAAGTGTCAGACCGATATCGCAGCGGGACCAATTTACGGATCGTTCCGCCAGCTTGAACCCCATTGTGGATGCGTCGGTGTTGACTCATCGGAGACCCTAGTAAATTTGGTCCCCATAAAAAGTAGCCCCTCTCCAATTTTTATCACCACCAGACAATCACTCCACCATGGACCATCTCAAACAAACCTTTGCCCAATGCCAACAAGAAGGCCGTCCGGCGCTGGTCACCTATGTGACGGCCGGATTCCCCACGGCGGAGGAAACCCCGGACATCATGCTGGGCATGCAGGCCGGAGGAGCCGGTGAGTCATTTTAGCTCCATCCTGTCAATCAACGATCCTGATAAAGGCCGTAGATATTATTGAACTGGGTCTCCCATTCACCGACCCTATTGCGGACGGTCCCACCATTCAGAAGTCGAACCTGAAGGCCCTCAAAAATGGGGTTACCATTACCTCCATGTTGGAGATGGTGCGGGAGGCCCGCCGGAAAGGACTCAAAACCCCCGTTCTCTTCATGGGTTACTACAACCCCCTTCTACGCTACGGGGAGTCCCAAATCCTGGCGGATTGCAAGGATGCCGGCGTCAACGGCTTTATTATTGTGGACTTGCCGCCGGAAGACGCGATTCGCTTCCGCAATGGCTGTACCAAGATGGGGTGGGTGGCACTACCCTCTTGAATATGGAGATTTTACGTGACATGCTTACTGACTCCATTGACAGACTCTCTTACGTCCCGTTGATCGCGCCTTCAACTACCGAGCAGCGCATGAAGGCGCTCTGCAGCATGGCCGACTCTTTCATTTATCTCGTCTCCCGCATGGGCGTCACGGGCGCCACGGGCACCCTCAACACAGAGCTTCCCGCCCTCATTCAGCGCGTCAAGGGGCTGTCCGGTAATGTCCCCGTGGCAGTTGGATTTGGAATCAGCACGCGCGAGCACTTCCTGGGCGTGACTTCCATCGCCGACGGTGCTGTCATTGGTAGTCAGGTGATTAACATCCTGGCGGACGCCCCGGCCGGACAGGCCGCTCAGGCAGTCGAGGACTACTGCTTGAAGATCACTCAGAGGAAGGTCACTCTGGACGCATCGACGAGTACAATCCCCCAGACAACCGAAACGAAAGCGGTCGCCCCGACCGATGACGCAGCGGCAGCGGTGACTGATGGACCAGGACGCTTCGGTACTTTCGGCGGTCAATACGCCCCCGAGGCCCTCACAACGTGTCTCGCCGAACTCGAGGCCGGCTTCCAGGCAGCTCTCGATGACCCGACCTTCTGGGAGGAATATCGGTCGTACTATCCTTACATGGGCCGTCCCTCGAGCCTTCACCAGGCGACACGCTTGACCGAGCATGTCGGCGGTGCAAACATCTGGCTGAAGCGGGAGGACCTCAACCATACTGGATCGCACAAGATCAACAATGCCCTGGGTCAGATCCTGATCGCTCGTCGGTTGGGTAAGACCGAGATTATCGCTGAAACGGGCGCCGGTCAACATGGTGTCGCGACCGCCACCGTGTGTGCTAAATTCGGCATGAAGTGTACCATTTACATGGGTGCGGAGGATGTCCGTCGACAGGCCTTGAATGTGTTCCGCATCCGCTTGCTGGGCGCCACCGTAATCCCCGTTGAATCGGGATCGCGCACCCTCCGTGATGCCGTGAATGAAGCCTTCCGCGCATGGATTGTCCGCCTGGATACCACCCACTATATTATCGGATCTGCCATTGGGCCCCATCCGTTCCCTACGATGGTCAGGACCTTCCAGAGTGTGATCGGTGATGAAACCAAGGCTCAGATGCAAGAGCTGGGCAAGTCGCCGGATGCCGTTGTTGCCTGTGTTGGTGGAGGATCCAACTCCGTTGGCATGTTCTACCCCTTCTCCAAAGATCTCTCGGTCCAGCTAGTTGGTGTAGAAGCCGCCGGAGACGGGCTCGACACGGACCGACACTCCGCTACGTTAACCGGTGGTTCCGTCGGTGTTCTGCATGGCGTTCGCACATATATCCTGCAGGACGAGCACGGCCAGATCTCCGACACTCATTCCATCTCTGCTGGGCTGGATTACCCCGGAGTTGGACCGGAACTGGCTAACTGGAAGGAAAGTGGGCGGGCGACATTCCTGTCTGCCACTGATGCCCAGGCCTTCGAGGGCTTCCGTCTGCTGAGCCAGTTGGAAGGCATCATTCCCGCGTTGGAGACGTCTCACGCCGTGTGGGGTGCCATTCAGACAGCCAAGAAGCTGGGACCTGGCAAGGACATTGTCTTGTGTTTGAGTGGTCGCGGAGATAAGGACGTGCAGAGCGTGGCTGATGGATTGCCCACGATTGGACCTCAGATTGGCTGGGACTTGCGGTTCTAAACATGCAAGTTTCACTCTGCACCTATAAAAGTTTAATTAAATCTGAAAGGGTTAGATACCTCGATAGATGAAATGATGATACGCCATGGTTTCAACGATGTCCATAGTATATATTAATTTGAATCTGCAGACAACAGATCTCAGTCGCGGATCTCAACGTAGAGTTTATCCATCTTTCATTCACAGATGTAGTCACTAAAGAGAAGAAGGTCACACTATTCAAATCTATGGAGCTCTTCACGGTGCAGAACGAGAGAAACGGTTGCTGGCAACAAAAACAACAGAGATCAAGATGTTAAAAGTGAAAAAAAATCTCCCCGACTGGGAGTCGAACCCAGGTCTCCCGCGCTTGTTCTCGTAAGAGATGACAAGCGGAAATCATGACCGTTAGACCATCGAGGATTAGTCATTGAGATTAGACCTGTTAATTTGCTTTATCAAATAGGTTGACTGTGTACAACCTTCGCAGACGCCAAAGGAAATCAACTATTCCGCTGACTAGTACATTCGCCAGGCGCTAACACAGGACTATCCATGCTACACAGAGACCCGGGAAGTGACCTCTACCAGCGTGTCTGCTGTTACACTTTTCGATCGCTGGCTTATTGAGGGCGTCTGAGGCGAAATCACCATCACAACTTATATTGACGCGACCTCTACGTTCATGAGAAAGCTGATCTTCATTTGAACCCAGAAGGGTGGATGTCCACATAATATCTCTGGGAAATACGAAATTAGAAAACAAGGTGCTACGAATCCGGCTACTCTTTGGAATGTCCAGCTGCTAGTGGCTTCACAATGGCTCAATTTAAATGTGCTCCAATGAATGCAGCGCAAAGATGAAGGTCTCCAAGACAGAGGCTGACAGTGGTTGTTTCATTCGCGAGTTACTTGTGTTAATCTCCGTCTGTGATACGGACATCGCAATAAGTGACACGATCATTATGAAAAAAGGTGAAATGCTGAAAACAATCCAGTACTTGCGGTGTGTTCCCTAAGCCGCGTAATGACAATCTATCTCGGATTCAGTTACGCTCCGGGTGGAATTGCTGGCCCGAGCTTTTACAGTGAAGCGGAGGAAAGTGACTAGTTGAAGGCCATCTAACACAATGGCGCTGCAGCTAGGTGTGCAATTGTATCTTTAGTTTTTCACACGCCCTGTCTAATAAATCAAGTGCACAATTGACTACCTGATAGGATTGTTGCTTGGTCAATTTGCAGAACCTGATGCTACTCTGAAGTCTGTTATGAAGATGATATCAAACCAAAGCCTTATTGGGTCGATTGATCTGCAATTCTAATTTCTATTCTGCACTAGTTGGCTAGCCTTCAGCCCAGTCTTTGGCCTTTGCCTGCCTGTCTCGCTCGCAGCCATACTCTTTTCGGAGAAAACGACGAGATTCACTTATGTAACTCACCTCGCCTCGAGAAGTGCCGATATATTCCCGGGAAGAGATGGTTGATTCGATGTCCCGGTATTCACCCCTACTTTATGACTCAAAACTCTACCTTGCATATGCTTCTTCGCTATTTGACTCCACACAAGCTAGCAAGCAGCTAACTGCCGTCAGAGAGAACCGGCGTGCCAGACAAAATTAGCGATATGACAGAGGGAGGGTACCTGTTCCTCCGTGCATAAATCTAAATCCGTGCCAAACGCCTTAAACTTCAGCTTTCCACCTATACGATCATCGCCCTTCGATGATCCTTACTCTTCTCTGCAATAAATCCGAAACGGCCACTACTTCAGCATTGGTCCGTCATTTGGTTCCAATAGTCCAGACCTTAAGTCCAGAATTGGACTAACCCATTACCTTGCTTGTTGGTCCTTGCCATTTGGAACGAGATTCCAGAGGCTTGGCGGGGCTTGAGCGGATCAGATAAGGAGTTAGCATAGTGTTTATGCTAAAGTTAGCGTTGATATGAATACTGGACATTTTGTCTAAGAGTGGCGGGAGGTCGCTTCAGTTCGATTGTTTCATTGTTGGGCTAGTAGTGGGGACTTGATAGCTGACGACGACTTTGCCTTTATACTCGATTGTGCGGATGTGATGGCGCTTACGGTGGACGAGACGTTCTGTGCAGCATAATCAGCGAAATGGTCTACTACTCGATCACGTCTTTTTCTCGTAAAGATCCAGAAACACACTATAGAGCAGAGGGTATATTTTCAATAGCACAGGGGCAATACTTAGGGACTTAAGAGGAGGACCGTCTGTCTGAATAGGACATCCTTGCGAGAACGGAATGAGTTCATAGGCAATGAACCGGTTACCCAAAGATCCACAAGGCTCTATGTGCCGAATTAAGGCCACTACTTAAGCTCGGTACCGGCATTAGAAGCGACATATCATACCAGGGGATGGAGTCAGGGCCCGGCTCCGGCCTCAAGGCTCAGGCAGCCGTCCGTGCGTGCTTTTTCTACATTTCCCGTGTGTAGTCAATTCAATCTACTTCCGACTCCCAACGCCTTCTTATTCCATCACTCGGAATTCCCGACTCCATGCGCGCCTTCACCCTCCAATAACGGTTGTGGGAAACAGTCCCCGTTGTTTCTAGGCCTGAACAGCCCGTTTCAGAACCGCCATGTCGGTTTTCTTCCATGCTCTGGCCAGGACATACCATCGGGTCATCAGCCACATTGGACCAGTGGCTGCTTCAAGACGGAGCCGTTGATCGTCGGGACTACGTACTCTTAGTTGGGATTAACTTCGGTTACTCGTGCCAAGAATTCCCCAGTGCCGACTTCGCACCACATGGTCTGACGTGGACTCGACGAAGATGGCCTCGGATATTCTGGCGCTTGTGCTGTCCCACACCCCTTTCCAGGGGCTCAAACAGAGGTCGTCTGAAGTTTAGGTCGGTTGCACCAATAGGGATTATTTTCTGACTCGATACGCCTTGTAGTGGATTAAAATGTCGATCTAAGCAGCAGTCCATTGGGCTGTCAATGTGATTGGCGGTCAATTGCCTCTCGGTGGGTCTGCTCTGCATAGACACAACGATCTCCGTCTCCAAGACCATGAGAGGAAACGCTGTGAGCTTAGAGTTGGCTGGCCCAGTGTAATGGTGTGTCTCCCAATGCTTCCGGATGGCTCCAAAGCACGTCATGAGCCGGAGAATTAGGTGTCGATTTGGGCAGGATGGTGTGCGATTTCATCATTGCCGCGTATACAGACCCTTGTTTTCAGGGTACACTCAGGGTATACGCAGGGTATACTCAAATTTGACCCTGTGGAAGTATTCATTGATCTTATTCCAACCTCGACTAGAATACTGGCAACCTTCACAAGACGACCATTGCCGTCCGACTACACTTAGGGCTGCAGGCAATTTACCCGAACGCCCCTAGCCCGTGGAGAAGAAGTCCCATTTGGGGAATGATACACAGGACTCAACCTGATTCCGATATGGTTCCACGCTGTTCCACTTCTCAATATTAGGTTTGGCGTGCCTGAAAGCGAACCCCTGCAGTCCGAGCTTGGGATCTACCTCTAACTTTGATGAGGTGCTCCTGGCTAACCGCTCTTCATCAGCTGGTTCAAGCTATCGGCATTCTGATGCCCCCTGGTTGTCGAAATTATAAAGGCCTTCCACTCCCCGATGGATCTTAACCTCTTTCTCAGGATCAACCTCATCAGCTTTCGTTAAGTGAATCTGGCATTCCTTAAACGCACTCCTTTGAAACCATATCTTATACTTTAATTACTTTCCTTCCTTAACCACTATCCAAAATGAAGTTCTCCAACGCCGCTGCTCTTGGCCTCGTGGGCTGTGCCCTTGCCTTGCCCAAGCACATCGAGGGCGGCGACCGTCAGTCTCTCCCTAACCTGCCATCCGGCTTCCCCATCCCGTCCGGCTATCCGTCCGAGGGCCAGCCCCAGGAGGGCGGCGAGGGTAACTTCCCTGAACCTAGCGGAACTTTCCCCTCTGGCTTCCCCATCCCCTCCGGTGGCGCTGGTTTCCCTGGGCCTAGTGGCTTCCCTGTGCCTTCTGGTGGAGCTGGCTTCCCTGTTCCCAGCGGACTGCCTGATTTCCCTGCTCCCAGCGGACTGCCCGACTTCCCTACTCCCTCCAGCGGAGCAGGATTCCCCGAACAGTCGTTCGACAAGCGGGACGAGGGCTTCCAATTCCCCGACCCCAGCGGCTTCCCTGTGCCATCTGGCATTCCCTCCGGCTTCCCAATTCCTTCCGGCATTCCATCCGGTTTCCCCATTCCATCGGGAACACCTTCCAGCGACTCTCCCTTCGGTGACTCCTCCTTCGGCGGATTCCAGAAGCAACAATCCCAGGACACCGACGAAAGCGACGACGACAACAACGACGAGCCCGACTTCCCTACCCCCAGCGGACCCGCTCCTTCCGGCGGATTCCCCAGTGGTTTCCCCAGTGGTTTCCCCGGCGGTCATCACGGTGGTCACCACGGCGGTCACCATGGCGAGGGTCACGGCCCGAAGCCGACTGGAACCCAGCCCTCTGGCTTCCCTCAGCCATCTGGAAGCGGTCCTCGTCCTACTCCGTCGTCTGGCTTTCCCCCTAAGCCTACTGGAGGAGCGCCGTTCCCTTTCTTTGCTTAGGTGATTCTCTTTTGAGAGCCATGTGTGTGTGTGTGTGTGTGTGTGTGTGTGTGTGTGGATAATGGATATTGGGGGGGTTGAGTTTGGTGTGAAGGGATTGGGGGCTTTGTGGGGTCAGTGAGTGTTTGGGGTGGGTTTGTGTATTGTATGTAGTTAGTTGTTGGAATGAAGACGTGGCTGGTGGATTTTGTGGTTCTGTTTCTTGTGTGTAGATTGTAGGGTATATATGTTGCATGGGCTGATATAATCTCTGATTTCTAGAGGTATAGTCAATGCGCTTGTGGACTACGAGAAGAGAGAATAAGGTGTCCTCGACAAAATGCACTGTGGAGGGTAATAGCAATATACGCAGAACAAGGGCGCTTGAACCTCAAATCGAATACCCAGAAACAACTTCTATTAGTCCAACTAGATGTCCAACACCCATTTTATGTCAATTTGATCGTCCTCTAAATAGTAAGATTACTACCCCAGGGCAGTAACGAACTACGTAAACACATCCGTCGCATACCTCTCCTCGGTCTTCAGCCCATCCAAGAATTCCTCAGCAGCCATCTCCTCATCCCCACCGTGCCCATTCTCCAGCCATCTCTCGATGAACATATCTTTGAATATCTGGCGAATTCCTTGGCCGACATCCATCCCGCCACACACATAGACCCGTGCTCCCTGTCCAATTAACTCAAGTAGCTCGTTCCAATCCTCAAACATCAGATCCTGGACATGCCGGCCCGGTGACCCGTTAGTCGGGCGACTATACGCCCATCGGACGTCCACAGCCCCCTGCCGACTCCATTCATCTAGCTCGCTCGCGTGGATATCATCCTTGCCCTTTGTGCGACAGCCGATGTATAGCATAGCTCTCGCTGGCTTTCCTGTGCTAGGATGGTCATGGTCGGCAAGTAGTTCGCTGCAGATCCGTTCCACGCGATCCATGATGAAACCGCGGAAAGGGGCTAGACCGCTTCCTGCGCATGCCATAATCATCGGGGTTTTCTCTTCCAATGGGGGCTTGAAGCCGCTGTTGTTTGAGGCGCGGATGGAGATCTGGGCGCGGTCTCCTGGTTGGAGTGAGGAGAGGTAGGTCGATGCTACACCTACGACTCGTCTGTTTTCCCTTGATACGTGGGGTGAGTTGAGCACTGAGAATGTGATGGAGCATTCTGCTGGGTTGGCTAAGGGGGATGATGAGATCGAGTATTGGCGGACTCGCATGGGGGGTAGCAGGGCGAGAAAAGTGCTCAGTGGTAGGTTGATGGAGGGGTAGCGTGTGAGAATGTCGAGGGGGCTTAGCCGGTTGTTGATGATTTCTTCTGTGAAGCGATTAGGGCTGGCGGTGAGCGACTGTAATTCTGCTTGAGTGTCTGCATCTGTGATAGCTGCCTCTGCGAGGGTGATCAAGTCTCGTTTGGATGCTGGCTGGGATAGCTCCACGTACGTGGAAAAGAGCTCGAAAGCGGAGATGGGCGTCTCGAGGGGCAGGTTCGTGATCCCATCTGGAGCATGCGATGGCTTCCAGACGGTAAGCATAGAGTCCCATGATAGTTTAAACCGGCGGATTGCGCGGCGGACAAGATGGGCTGGGTTTACAGGCAACACGAGGAGGTAATCGCCACATTGATAGGTCGAATCAGGTGGTAGTGTGAATCGCAACATTCTCTTGGCTGGAACGTCGGGTGCTGTGAGCAGTTTGTTTTCGAGCACGTATCCTTCCTGCAACTGAAGGCCCAACGTGGAAGCTCGCATGCTTGAAGTGACGTCGACCTGGAAGACAGACTTGGAGTGTACATCTCCCTCTGGTGGTTCACGGCCAAACTTCAAATTGGTTGCCGGCCAGAGGATGGACTCGCTCCAGGTATCGAAGTCGGAGAACATATCTGAATTGGCGGCATCAGCCACACCCATGTCACATAACTGGATTCCACCGTGCTTCTCTATAAGATCATTGATAGCTTTGGGAATGCGAAGAAACGTGGCTGACCAGTCATCTGCCAGTTTCAGCTCATTAGCAAATACACAGTCAAGAACAACTAAATGATAATCATCAGGCAGAGGGTAGCTCACGATGACCACATCCGAATACAGCGTAGTTTACTCCGTCCAACTCGGCTTCCCTTAGCCCCTTCAGCCATTCGAAGAAATGAGCGGCATTATCCGGAGGCTGTCCCTCATAGGATGCGGTAATGAAGACGACAGGACCGTGACTATGAATTTTCTCTATGGCTGAGTTCAGACTTTCAACCATGGCCGCAAAACCGTATCCCATAGAGTCATTGGCTAGCCTCCGAGCCAGAGCCTCACAGGTACCAGTATTGCTACCAAAGAATATATGCATAGGCTTCACAAGAGATCGCACATCTGTATTGGACTTTTTCTCGCCATTGAGTATCCGAGCCGCATTGGACGACAGATCGCCACCGCCGTTCAAGAAGCTCGCTAGCTTGGCCGCATCTAGGCCTCTTCGAAGCGTTGCCTTCATATGGAAGCCTTCTGGTTTGATTGATAATGACTGCTTGATTCGAAGATCATAGCCGAGATCCTCCATCTCAAAATTGAAACTCTGCAGCAGCATGGCCACCACAAGCAACATCTCTTGCCAGGCAAACGGGCGCCCGATGCATCCTCTCATACCGTTTCCAAATGGCTTCCACGCGTTCTTAGGGAGATTTTCAAAGTTTTTATCCAACATTCTCTCTGGCTTGAACTCCTCTGCGTCATCACCATAGACTTTCACATCCCGATGTACCTTTCCCATGATAAGAACCACTGGCTCATCCTTGTTTAAAGCATATTTGCCCTTCCCTAAAGTTACTGGATCTTCACGATTCTTAGTAGGATGAGGATGAAAGGCGATTAAAGGAACTGGAGCCTGGAGTCGCAGTGTCTCTCTCAGTGAGGCTGCAATGTAGGACAATTTTGACAAATCCTCTACTGTAATCTTCCGTTGACCGACTACCGTGTCGACCTCTTCTTGTGCTCTCTGGTATGCATGCGGATTTTTCAGTAGATAATAAAAAAGGAATGTCAGTGTGGCAGATGTCGTCTCGTGACCTATGCAAAAGGTCAGTCATAAGGGTAACAAACCAACGCATAGGTGCAACGCCCTTACCCGCGACAAGAAATGTGATCATATTGTTGATAATTGAGTCGTCACTGAGATGTTGGCCAGTCTGAAGATCTTGACCAAGGATGAGAGCATTAAGCAGGTCCTTCTTGTCTTTTGGGTTATTTCTCCGTGCATCGACCAACTCCTGAGACAAAGTTCGTAGAAGACTTATATCATTCCAGTATTTTTTATTTCCCCTCGTAGGCAGGTTGTTAAGAAATGTCGGACGGAAAGTCCTATCAGAGGATCCCTGCAGTAACGTAGCAACTGCTTTGATAAAAGGATGCAAGTCTTCACTGTAGAAAGAATTGAACCTAGTCCCCATGGAACAGAGCGCGATAGTGTCCAGCGTCAAACGAGTGAAATCATCATTGGCCATTATAGTCGCAGCAGACCCCTGCCGTGCCCACTTCAGAGCAAGCTGACTTGCAATATCGTACATGTCTATATGTTGTCACGCTTCCGATTAGCATGTAATGTTTGACGCGGCGAATAACACACCTTCATACATGGCTCGAATCATCAACGGCCCAAAAGCCGGAACCAGAACGCGATGTGCGATCGCCCAGTTATCTTCCCCAGGATAATCCGCCGTAAACAGACCATCTTGAACGCCGTTTCGAATTTCCCTCAATCCAGCGGTTACAACCTTTGTGAATCGTTCCTCGTCGCAGACTTCATCAACGAGCTCGTGAGTGCTAATGAACACTCTTGATGCCCCGGCGAGGTGCAGCCGAAAGATTGGGCCTTATAGCGCGTATCATTAGCGATGCTAAAAGATATACTTTGTATAAAGCGATAGAATATAGCTACAGCAGCCAGGGCAGTAGAATGTGTGCTTGAAGGGGTATATCATATACCATAGGTTTCCGCCAACCGTTGAAAGCTTTTCTCCGGTGCCTCGGAATCAACATCTAGGATGTTCCCCAACAGAGGCAGGCCTCTGGGCTCTGGAATTGGGATGTGTTTCGTCTCCTCCATAGCGAGTCGGACCGGGATTAGCTCGATCTTCAATATATCAGGACGAAGGACCGTTGATAGCTAACTAAGTATATTTCCCTGAGCTTCGCAAGTGAATGCTGCCGGTATAAGACCGTGTTAAGCCAGGAAAACAGGTGGAAAGGCAAGATTTCTGAGATCAAGAGCATACATGAGCGATCCTGTAAAACAATGGGAAGGACGTCTTACAGTTATTTCTATAAATCAACCATTGACAGTCGAACCATCCACAAGATACGAGCTCTTCTCAGCCTTACCGTTGACAAGGTACAGCCCCAGCAAGTGATCGTTTCGCTCTAGTCCTATGTTCTAGGTGATCTTAGCGCCGATGAGAAGCACCATCACTACAACAACGGGCCGGTCCAGCGTATATTGGCTCCAAGGACAGAAAAGGGGCGTCGTCAGTTGTACAAGCGTCGAAGCATGACTTCTCATCGGTAACCGGGTATGTTTTGCGCCGGCTTTTACCAGAAGGAAGTTTGCTGTTTCGGTCATATGTGCATCTGGGTTTTACAGCTCTGTTTGCAGCAATTACTGATGATGTTGACCGCATCAAACGTGGCGTTGTCTTTGAGGATCAGGCGTGTTTCACCGTTGAATCCATCGTGATCCTCACAGAAAGTAGTCGGCTTGATACATGACAAGCGGAACTAAGATACTCCGCCATTGTTCGTGCCTATACAGAGTTTCACTCATTGAAAGCCAGACAGCTTCCCCGCCAGTCATGCGACAAGATGTTGCGTGGTTTCAGCAAGATGACTTGGAAATGGCTCATTCTGTGTGCATATTGATAAGCCACTGAGATATTTATTTAGCACAGTACCCGTGTTTGGTGAATGATAAAGTATCGTGTGCCTTAGTGACCAAACTGTAGACTGTGCCTATGTGGTCTTTT